CCAGACCCGCCACCTACACCCTCGGCACCGGCGCCGGGAGCTCGGTCCTGGACGTCGTCCGCGCCATGGAGACGGTGTCCGGCAGGGGCATTGCGCGCGAGGGGGTCGCCCGCCGCCCGGGGGACGTCGCCGCCTCGGTCGCCGCCGTGGACCGCGCGCGCCGCGAGCTGGGCTGGGAGACGAAAAAGACGCTGCTGGACGCCTGCTACAGCGTGTGCAGTCGGCTCAACTTGCTTCGGGCCGCCGCTGCGTAATGGAGGGCGCCGTGTGTCCAACATGCAAGACGACGTTTGTAGTGAGAGCTGCGGGAACGATTGACGCCCCGCGATAATGAATGCCACTTCGTGTATTAGCGTAGATTTAATTTTAGGCAAGACTGTAGACCATTTTACATAATACGCATTTTATAGTTCGGTTTAGTCGAGCAGAGTTCGTCGTGGGTGAAATTCTGATTTTGCCAGACTTTGCTGGACAAGTAAAACTACAAGGTGTGACCAAAACACCCTGGCCACCTTGAAGCAGCTGAAAAAGAGGCACGATCAAAAGTTGAATACTTATCCTAGATCTTGGAGGAACATGTATTGCGAGGGGAAAACAAGCTTAAAAGTGTAAACCAAGGATGTAAAAGGGGAAGAAATGCTAGATAGAAGGCTAGCTTATTACTACTTGCTGGATGTATTATATTTTAGATTAGATAGGTAGCCTCTCCATAAGCCTAGGGCTTGCACGAGAGTAATGAATTATAAGAAAAAAAAAAACAGACTGCTCTAGGGTACGGCATAGTGCTCCCTGTTCGCGAGGCAAGTGGCCATCTTTTGTTTTATATAACAAATCTAAAGACATTCGCGCACAATGTAGTTTTCGATTGCATGTTTCAAATGGCATCTTGCTGTTCATTTTCTGGATGATGGGCTGTCGCTACAAAATTCAAAATGTGACGACATTACGTGTCAAGCGTGGCTACAACACTGATAATACATGCACCCGATGCTATTGCTCAGCCATAAAACCATTCGGTTCACTGTCATTCAACCTCCCCAAGCGGGTATCTCTAATAGCCACTACTACTCGAGAGACCCAAGACCAACTATTGCTTCCTCAAAAGCGTAAATCACTTGATCATAGAGCCTGTCCACAGCTTCAGCCTTGGTATCAGTGCCAATCCACATCGTCCCATCTCGCAGTGGAAACAATATCTTCCAAACTGTTTCGGCAAGTGACTTTAGGGGGTGAAACTCTACAGGAAACTCCCCCAAAATACTTGCAAAACCATCGCAGTCCACATCGCGAGACTTGCGTGCAGCTAGTTCGTCCCAGTTGCCATTGCTCCATTGGCGGAGCTTGCTCGCTTCCGGGGGATCGTCGGCGCGATTGGTTACAATTATCCACAGAAACACATAAAAAAAAGACTCCAAGTCGTGTCTGTAAGTGTGACGATGGTGCTTCAAGACGCCAATGGCCATGAATGGTCTAGTTCCAGTAATACTTGGAGGACGTTCCAAGTCGGCTTCAAGATGTATGGCAGAATCAAGATCTATCAGCGTCCCTTTTGGTCCCCCTCCTTCTTGATTATCCAGAATAATCATGTTCCCCGCAGAGACATCCTGGTGAAGAATCTTGGCGTCTTGGTAGAGTGATCGATGACACTGGATAGCATCACGGAATACTTGAAGCAGTTCTAATGGAGATCGAAACGTGTCAAGTGGTCTACCGGCAGGAGACGTAAGGACACAAGTGAGAATACGGTTTTGGAAGTAGTTGTCGGTTTCCTCCGTGTACGCGGCTAGTCCGGTCGGTTGACGCAGGTCGTCAACGCCTTTGTGTCTGCTACCCGAGTGCTGCTCGCTGGAAAACTTTCTATGTGTCCCCCATCGGAGACCCGCGCGCAAATCTGCTGTACTTTGGATTTCCTTGTAATAGTCGAGGGAGACGACACTTGTGGCGCATTTCTCCTTGGCTAGCCTGAGTAGCTCGTCCTCCGGGCGGTGTCTGGCCCATCTCCATTTGAATTTCAAGACGTAATTCCAGTGATTCGAGCCGGATGGCTTGGCACGGTAGCAGGTTGTCCCTGTCCCGACGAGGTCTTCACGACGGGCAATCGGTTGGCATTCTAGGTAGAGTTTCTCCAAATTTGATTTTGCCGCACTCTCAATACTTATGTAGCTTCCTTCTTCGTCAGTCTTAATTAGTTTTAGGTTTCCTAGTTGCTCGTCGGTCATCTGGCCGTAGTTAAGCACAATGAAAGCCAATTGATCGAAATCTTTCTGAACGTCGAATACCTCGCTGCAATATAACCCCGATCTATCAAAGAGCCAAAATTCGATCAGTGAACCACGTATGTAAAAGCCATGGAGGAAGAGTCGGATCGGCTGACTAGCAAAAACTCGCTGGGCGGATTGGCAGAGACGCAACAGTCCGTCTTGATAACCAACGTCATCGTGGTTGAATTGGCCAATGACTTGGACATGGCTCCAACTGATCTGGCCGTTCGGGTTTGGTGATGGAGGCATAGTCAGGAGGAGACTTGTCCCCACGTCAGTCTGCTCCTGGTTCGCCGTTACGGTGTTTCTGAATACGTGCCACGAGGCTCGGTCAGCATCGGATTTCTCGGATACAAAGTTTGAAAACCAGTGCAGGAAACTGTCGGGGGTTGGAGCAAGTGACTGGACCTCCCGTCCATCGTCTCGGTGAGTATGGGGGGATTTTCCAAAGAACTTTCTTATGAACCCGGGCATGGGTCCATGCATGCGGCCGTCTATGTTGTCGAAAATTTCTTCTTCGTCCATGGTGGCCAGCTGAGGTGCTGGTGAGTGCTTTCCTACGGGAGAAGCTTCCATTTCTTTTGCAGCAGCGTACGGCGAACAGCAGAAGGTTCAGACTCGATCCCAAAGCTGGACACTACCATCGGTTAAGAACAGACCAGACGCGCTTGCTACCTTCTCGTATTCCAATGCTGGTCTGAGGAGTGGTGGTGGTGGTTGAGCTTGGCTTTCAATTATGCCCCATGGCACCCGCGCCGAAATTTTGTGCCACTGGTTCAATCAAACCAACCTGAGAATTCAACATGCCTCACAGTTAAAAAAACGGTAAGGGTGATGCGATTTAAAGAGCCGGATTTTTGGAGGGCGAGGGAAGTTGAAAATAGCAAAATGAACTCTGTGCCACGACGTGTTGTGAAGGAGGCAAGGAGGTCGCGGCCCTGACCCTCGTTTGTCAACCCTCTCGATCCAAGTCCATCCACATCGGACAAATTGAGGGGCCGGGGAGCAGCATCGAAGTTGCCAAGTGTATCGACGTAATTAACTGAACACTGAACCAGCCATACATCAAAAACTACGCAGGATGCTCTAGGCAGAAACACGATGCGCGGATACCCAACAATAACAGCTGTCCAGAGGCCAATCCGACATCTCAGTTTCCGCCATAATCTGCCTCAATGGGAGCCTCGGCCTGCTTCTGTTGGTAGTTGTTGTTCTGTTGGCACTTTGGCAAGACTGTGCCATGTCACGTTGGCCATGTTGTGAAACCCCAGCCTGCAGCCAGTGCATGGCTCATGTTTTTGGCTTTTTTACCTTGCTTGGACCTGCTTGGCTGGCTGTTTTGTTGGTCCGCTTGACGCATCTGCACACCGCCATTCTCACCGGAACATCTAACCAATAAGTAACCAGACACATAACGACATATACATGCCGGACAACACTCACGGGCCATCACAAAGCGCCCGACGAGCCATCACAGAGGGGTCAACACTGAGGGGTAAAGCAGCACTACAAACATGGTGGTAGCAACATATTATTCCAGGTATCCCAGTTATTGTCCTTTGCCGGAGCATACGTGAATAAACACATCCCAGCTGTCATGGTCTCGTGGGTTCCAACTCAAATTCGACAAAGCGTAATTTTCTTTTTAGTCAAAACTTGGATTATACAACTCGTTTATTCCTGCCGTTTTTTCTCCGGTACCACAATGGCGTGTTTGGTTGACAATTTTGTACCATGTATGACTTACAACAGCCTGCCCCTAATTAGCCAGGTTGCGGAGGCACCAGAGGTTCATTCCCGCGATCTTCAAGATCTTCGCGAGCTACTTGAAAAGCATAATGTCCCCAGGGGTGTTAGTGTTCGGCTGATCCATAAGCACTTCGATACTGCCGACAGCGAGGTCATGGTCCTTGACAAAGTTACTATCCCGGGACACGGAGTCGCTCAAATTATGAAGCCAGTTGTGCCAGCAGAGAACAACAGACTCCTTAGTATTCACGTTTTCGTTGATGAAAATGCCTTTCTCCCGGCCTACGAGTATAGCAACTATGAAATCCCTGATATGAGCAACTATGGGTCTTTTCTTGCCGAGTTTTGCGCCATCATTTGTCAGCGTAGTCTCCAACGGAAATTCGGGCTCAAGCTTCATTGCTGACGACACAGGTCGCACGGGTTGGCCCGAGTACGAACTCGGTGCTAAAAGAGGAACCATCATGTTTCCTGACGGCATGCCCATGCCTGATGGAGATGGCGAATACAGCGTCACTACAGAGTGTAATGCGGTCATCAATGAACTGCCGAGAACTTGCAAGCATTCTACAATCTGCTCACATGGGCGATCCACTTGCAAACACTGTAAACACTGCAACAGACATCCCGGTCCTGGCGACGATGATGATGTCGGTGAGGGTATTCTCTGTTTAGGCGGCCAAAAGATTCTGCCAGGGTCTCAGATCCATGATATCGTCGAGCGAATCATGGTCGCTTTTGGTTGAAAGTCATTTAGAGCTCTTGGATTCCACGTAGTATGTGATAGGGCCGATAGTCTGAGCACCTACGGAGGTGGGCTTCAAAAGTCTTGTTATCTGGATCATGTGCAAATAAGGATTCAATGTTAATCCCTGCGAGTACTTTCTCGTACTTGAGCAACTATAATTTAACCCCGAGATAAAAATCCTCTTAATTGAAAATGTCACTACAAGAGATTAATATTAGAAGCTAATGTCGCTATTTTTTGGCACTTTTTAGTAAGAGTAGAAAATATATCATATATTCCATCTACTAACCTTATTATTAGTGCACAGCTATAGGCCAGGCTTTTGGCGTGCACCTTTATACAGTAAACCACACCAAGTAGATCAATTTCTCTCGGAAGACGTGAAAAAGACGCTATCAAAGCTGCTTGTGATTTGTGGTTTCGCTTACATTGGATAGAACGCCATCTAGCCGGGCCTCGTCATCCAGAAGGTTCAAATCAGAAGCTCGCTAGCAAACTCCTCCTAGCTATGGCCTGTTCAATTGGAAAGTGACCTTTTGCATGTCTTTCGACTTCCGACCATACAAAACGCCTCAATTTCCTAAATCGACAGATACAACCGAGCACCAAGTCCACATCCAATGCGATCCAAAGCTGTCAATCGTGACATTGCAAACCCCGGAATATTTGAACAGGTCGCATATTCACAGGGATAAATACCAAATGATAACCAGGAGAGCTTTGAAAAGTCTCAGCTGGAGGCCTATTGCGAATTTTTTTTGTTTTGCCACGGCCCAATAGTTCAACCCATTACCCATCATAACACTGTCACACGGTTACACGCACGGGACCTAGGGCATAATACTCAGCGACTTCTTGTATTTATAGAGACATCCGGTCCCTCGAGGCCTGTCAGAGAACCAAGGACCTTTGATGCAAAAGACTGTTATTAGCTGAATGAGCTATTGCTCCAAGCCTTCACTGAGCCCTTTTTAAATCAACCCAATACCCATCGTGGCACATCATCTCGAACGGTTATGCTCTATGATGACGATGCCTACAGCGCGCAAATATAGGGTGTCCGTGATTGGAAGCCAGCTTACATCGATTTGAATTCTTATTTTGTCCTACTGGGCGGAATGGCGTCTACATTCGGAAAGGGGGACTTGCGTGACGCCGAGAGAATGGACTTGAATAGGAGCTTGGCGTCGGACCGTGTTATTTAATATCTCCTTGCAGCAAACAGGGAGGCAGAAGTGTTCCGTAGGTGAGATGCCAGCAGGCACTGGGTGAATAAACTCTCGTTGAAGACCGTATTCAATTCTGCAAGCATATCAAAGTATCAGTACAAGAGGCCTCTTCGACTTTTTATACAACTCGCGGCAGTCCGCCGCAAAAGAGCTACGTCAGTGGCCCGCTTCTTAATTCCGACGTCGAATACGAGCCTCCGAGTAAGCTATTCATGGATTATCAATATGAAGAGTTTTCACGGGGCAAAGAATGGCCGTCTCGTCCCATCCAAGCATACAAACCTGGTAACAATATATGCTCAAGACATGGGACAATCCAGGGAATAACCGCTCTAGCATATGGGGATGGTGCGATGGATGACGCGGAACATGGGGAGCTCGTCCCGTCCGGCCTGTGGTAGAATATATTTGCGCACCCACAAGCATACATGATAAACCGTCTGGTAGTATGTTATATTGCAGAGCGCTATAGCCAGGTACCTGTTTTTGTCAAATACTTTTCGCTATCTACTGCCCTTAATCGATACCCTATCAGCTTAGAACTGGGCTTAAATTTCCTACTACGTAGTATGTCGGCTACTTGGAAGATACTTTGGAGACGTCGCAATGCCCACCCCGTCTCTCACGCGCCGCCTATATCCCCCTTTCTACCGCTAATTTCTGCTTTAGTCAGGACAGCCCCATATTCCCATTATAAAGTAAGGATAGAAGGGAATATGCGTGTCAGCCGGACGCAAGGAGGCGGACAGAATGGTTCCACCGCTGCCCAATATGCAACTCCAACCTCAACGCATGGGAGGATAATGTTGAGCTGAAAGGCCCCCCCCCGGGGGGGGTGCAACAGGCCCATGAGAGGAAATGCATCAACTACAACCTATCTTTGGATGAATTAGCAACTGTGCCTATCGAAACTGTCACGCTGCAAATAGAGATAGTTGACCGAGTTCAAAAAGCATGAAATTTCAGACTAGTCATCATATACGTGAATGGGAACCCCAAAGCACATCTTCGAGGAGGAAAAGCCAGGCAGCAGCAGGAGTCTTCTTGGATGGGGCCACATGAAGTATATAGAAGAAGGAAGATATTCCAAGACTTTGATGCAAGGGACGAGGAGACTAGACCCGCAATGCCGGGAATGGCCGGGGCACAGGCCGATTATGCAAAGATGGATCTAACTATAAGTGGCGTCCTCATCAAATGAATCCTCGTATTCGCATTCTGAAAATGAGCGTTAAATGAATGTCGCAAGTAAGGAGAGCGTTCCTGTTTGGGCTGCCAAGATTGCCAGCCACTGACCTACCCGGCAAGATTATCACGCATCCGCACATATTGAAAGACGACCAGTTTATAAAGATATTCGAGGTAGAAATAGTACGAGTAGGGTCCTCGGATACAGTACCCACCGGCGCGTGCCATAGGCGAAGCCAAAGACCCGAATACTTGCGGAGAGACGCATGTAAGTGAAGGCTCACGGCGCGAGTAGCGCGAGTAGCGCGAGTCAAAAGCTATTTTGGTCCAAAAGACTCCGCAAATATACGGGGTAGCCAAGGAGTAGTCGACGATAATCCTGGTACTTCATGCATCACTGCTCCGTGGGCCAGTGTGCAAACTCGCAAAGCCCCCTTTTCTAGTATTGCATTAATATCCGCTGCACAAGCCCCCTGTCGCATGGGTTCCATTGGCCTCAACTGCGACATGGAGGCTTGATTCATCGCAAAAGACGGGCACAGACCAGGCTATGGCGATTTCGCCTACCTCCTGCCAAGTGAGGTGACGATGAAGGTTCTATATCTGTACTATCTAACTGACTCGACACTTGACTTCTCCAGTTCGACGACAGTAAAAGAGGTATAAATAGCATTCCAGCCGCCTCATCTTTCAGAATACAAAATCCCAAGTTATCGACAACGCTACACTTTCCTACCCTATCTTGTTTCATAAGAGTAAGAGTACAGTGCTGCGACCATGCTCTATCCATTTTCTCTCTACTTTGCCTTGGCTAGCACAGCCATCGCAGGTACCGTCCCTGATATTACCACTTCGGAGGCACCAGGCCGTAGCCAGGCTCCAAGTAGCATTCTTACAGCTCCTCGTCGCGGAAATGGGTCAGAAGCAGCAACAGGACGCTGCGGTGCGAAGGATATGATCAACATTGAAACCTACATCACCCTTTTCGCCAACAACGAAACATACGAAGGTGGTTGGCTCAGCGTAATCACCCCCTGACTTCTATTTGAACACGCACAATCCAGCTTTCTGACCGCACGCGTAGGACGACATTGTTGAAAAGCAAATGAAGGTGCTCAACGACGGGTTTTCCAGCTGCCACATCGGCTTCACTCTCAGGGGACTGCAAAGAAACCTCACCTCCATGCCCACGGGGTTTGACCCAGACGAAAAGATAGCCTTTGAATTCTACGGCAAATACAGAAAAGGCAGCTACAAGACGCTCAATCTATACTACTCCCCGGACGAAGACGGCGGATTCTGCACCTTTCCTGGCATGAGAGGCGCACTCAATATTGGCACAGCGTTCAACGTGGATGGCTGCAAAATCGGGTCACGCACCACACCCGGTGGAAAGGCCCCCTATCATATGGGCAAGACGACGGTTCACGAAGTTGGTCACTGGCTAGGACTGTTGCATACCTTCAAAGGCGGGTGCGATGAGGAAAAGGGTGACTTTGTCAGCGACACGCCGGCAATGAATGAGACCATGGGCGAAGTATTGGGCACCTGCCCTCGTGGCCAAAACAGCTGTCCTGGTCTTCCGGGCCTTGATCCCATCCATAATTATATGAGCTACACCTCTGAGTAAGTTGAGTGGATGTTGGGTCATGGCGGATGGCTTGCTGACATGGACGTTTAGCGAATGCAGGACGGAGTTTACGCAGGAGCAGTGCAAACGCATGAGGAGTATCTGGCGGTATATCCGAATTGATCCTGTACAGGGTTGATCCATTCATGCGATGAGTCATACCAGTGTCGAAGTGTTGAAGTATGCGGAGGAAGAGAGCATTAGAGCCTCGACGGATGTCAAAAGAAACCAGTCAACGTATCTCCGATTCACCTAAACCCTATGCTGGCTCAAACCTTCGCGGAATTAGAGTACTTCTAGTCGTCGGCAGGGTCGACAGGAAATCTCATTGCAAATTTTTTGATTCACTTTATCCTGGTCCTAATTAGCCCGTAAACCATCCACCCTCCGCCACCACATGAAGACTGGTTACAACCGCGGCCACCTCACTCTTTAGGCAATCAGTTGCGGTCCGGGTACGTAGAGATTTTTGAAAGCATATACCCGATAGGATCGGGCTTGGGCCGACCAAGAGCCCAGCTCAGATGTCCTAGCTACCCCGAGTCAGGCGCCCCAATCAGTTGGCTTGTGCAATGACATATTTTCAATAACCCCCCGGGAAAAGACATGTGTCCTCATACTCGCTGGGCCGATTTCGGAGTAATTTAAAACATCTACATCTACATGGCACGCTGCTGTGATGTTGTCGATTAGACGTGATGTGACGCGGAGGGAGAAGACAACCAATGCCCGTTGCACACACGTCTCCATCTCCATGTCAGAAAATATGACTGCCCACTTTGTGCGACCTCGTGTTCTGATTTAAGCTGGATTTTGCGTCACATGCCCTCTTACCGCATCCTCGACATCCTACCCGGTTTCCTGAGGGCGGCTAGACTCAGCTCATTCTTGGCTGTTGCAATATCCAAGTAAGAAAGACATGGATGAAGCATTGCTTTTGGGATGAATGTCTCCAAAGAAATTCGTAAGCCCATTGATGAACAACTAAGTGAAAAATTATACCATCTTCAAAAACGCTGCGACAAAAGTTGCCATGTCAGACGTACTGCCAAGTTACAACACCACCACCCACAAGCAATCCAAACCAAATGGGTGTGCCAACACATGCAGAATGTGGCAACATTCGACCATAGCGTGACGGCTCTCTTTTATTCGTGTTAGGATTAATACACCCACAGCCTGCTGCAGCCTGACACTTGCTGTACCACCGGTAACGACGCCAGCCCACCGGTTTGAACCGTGAAATGCTTGACAGGCATTCGCGGGGCCGCTCATCCAGGAGCCTATAAAATACAAAGAATGGCTCCATATATCGAGTCAACTAAGCTACACAGTTTGTCTGTCTCTGCTTGGAAGCTTGAACAGCCACAAACCACCAGTCATTGCTAATTTTCGTAACCGAGCCCAGCCGCATCAAGTGCCATCGCAAGTCTTCACAACCGGTTGCACAATGACAAACGCGCTGGTAACAGTTGTCGGCTTCACCATAGTCACGTACTGCATCTATCTCATCTTCTTTCGAAAACGTCGCACCCATGACCTCCCTCCCGGTCCCAAGGGGCTGCCAATACTGGGCAACATGAGAGACTTGCCGCCCAGTGGTAGACCCGAGTATCAGCACTGGATTGCGCACAAGGATCTATACGGTCCAGTTAGTTCCGTCAGAGTGCTCGGCCAGACCATTGTTCTCATACACGACAGAGATGCGGCACACGAGCTGCTCACAAAAACGTCGTCCAAGTCGTCGGAACGGCCAACGTCGGAATTCGCCAACAATCTCTGCGGATACGGACGCTTGTTTGTTCTTCGGGGAGACGACAAGCGTTTTCGGCGCTGTCGAAAAATGGTGCACCAGAATCTCGGTACAGTGATCTCGGCTTCCAAGTTTGATGACGCCCAAGACCTGGCAACACGCAAGTATTTACTTCAGGTACTCAATGGCCCAAGTAGCCTGTTCAGGCATCTCGCAAAGTGAGTTTAGCTCGAGGCAATCATGCCGGACGTCAAACGGGGCTCCAAAATCCGTAATTGCACACCCAGCTAATTACCATTCATGTCGTAGCCATGCCGGCGGCTCTGTGCTAAGAGTCACCTATGGCTACACGATTACTAAGGCCGAGAAAGACCCCCTTATCGAGTTGATCGAGCTCTCGGCGTCACAGCTAGGGTTGGCACTTGTTCCCGGGGCTTGGGCCGTGGATATTGTCCCGGCTCTGAAGTATTTGCCGGATTGGTTCCCCGGGGCTGGTTTTAAGCAAACTGCCAAGGAGTTCAGCAAAGTAGCGCAAAAAATGGCCAATGTTCCATACGAATTTGTTTTGAGTCAGATGGCCTCGGGCATTCAGCGGGAGTCGTTTGTGTCAGGGCTGGTCGAACAACATCGCGAGGCAACACAAGGCGAGGCACTGACTTCACGGGACGAGGACGAGATAAAGACCACTGCGGCGGTCATGTATCTGGGCGGGTCGGACACCATTGTCACTGCCTTGAGAATCTTTGTCCTGTGCATGATTTTGTTTCCCCACGTCCAGCGCAAGGCTCAAGAGGAGATTGATTCGGTCCTAGGGCCACATCAGCTTCCCGCTGCTTCTGATCGTGAAAGGTTGCCTTATGTCGACGCCTTGGTTAAGGAAGCATACCGATGGTCGCCCGCAATCCCGCTAGGTTTGGCACATGCTACTTCGGAAGAGGTGGTATGTAAAGGGTACCGTATCCCAAAAGGGGCCATCATAATGCCGGCCGTGTGGTGGTTCCTACACGATCCTGAGGTATACCCAAAGCCGGGTGAATTCGACCCCGAAAGATAGCTAGAGCCACGAAACGAACGCGACCCGCGTCTGGACGTATTTGGCTATGGACGCCGGTTATGTCCCGGGAGGTATGTGGGGGATACCATTCTGTATCTCACATTCGCGCAAACTCTCGCCTCCTTCGACATTCGCAAGGCCGTCGATGAGCAAGGTAGAGACATTGACGTGGAGCTGGAGCTCGGCTGTGGAGTGGCCTGCTTTCCGAAGGAGTTCCCGTATACAATTACACCGAGGAGTCCGGCGCATGCCGATATGATCAGGCGGGTCGATGCTGGTCGGCTGGAAGAGGTTACTGACTCGGATTCTCTTGACATAAAAGCAATAATGAGCAAATGGAATGACTAAACGCGATTGAAAATTATCGTACAAAACTTGACAAGTAATGAAATCTATTTATATTTATTCTACCCCTCCGGGATGAGGTTAAACCATTATAAGGTGTTTATTCTTTTACTAGTTCTTTGGTAAATTTTTCTATTGCGTGGCTAGTTACGGTTCCCTGGCCTAGGTACGGCTAAAATAGAGTGCTAAATGTCTTACATGAATATATATATATATTTTTTTTGGTATTTTTTATTAACTCATTTTTATTATTATCATTGGTTACCCTAGAGCTATTATAAGTATTAACGTATTACTTTTTATTCTTCCTTTTCGCGACAGCGAACTGCATATACCTTTTTTTTTCAAGTCTTTAGGAGCTCCTACGAGCTGCCTAGAGACTCATAGCACATAGACTGTGCACAAGTGATACTGGGTTACGAAACAAAAGGAGATTCAAGTTATTAATACCTGGCATGTGAATTGAATATTGTGAAATCTTACACAACGCCGCACACCCGGATCAGAAGTCTGTTCTACATGAGAAGCATCCTGCGGACAAATCTACTTATACGTTTCTTCTTACGAACTCAGTGCCGAATGTCTTGGGAAAATACTGACTTATTTCTCATACTTTATCCAGAATACAATCAGTCTTTAATCATGTATGCGCTAAATGATCTGTTTGAAGCTAAACTTTGTGGGCTGCAAGACAAAAAGTCGAAACAAGGTGAGAACCTGGGGACACCAACCCCCAATTCTCCATCAAAAGAAGAAGATGGAATGAATCCTTGAAGCGCATAAATATGTGAAAAGAAAGAAATTATCCAAACGCTGATCAAGACAGACGTTTCGGCCCTGGCAGCAGTGCAGTCTGAGCATCGTTGCTTTCGGCAGTCAGGCTCAGCTTGCTTTTGAATCCTGGTTCTCCGGTGTCCACCCCGTGGGCAATTTTAGCGAGCTCAAGCCACAATTCGGAGAATCGGCAACTTGGTATGTCGGGAGGGGAGTTATGAGATCAGAGCAAGGCTGAGCAACTCGTTTGAGTTCCTCTTCCGAGTTACGTATACACCAGCAGATGGTGATTAAACCCCGACTGTCTCCGACATACATGACTCGTTTTAAACAAGTTTAAAATAATCTTACTCCCTTCATCTTCTCTCCAAACCTTACAGTGTCGACTAACACTGTTCGGGTTGTATTGCAACACCATGCCCACGTGCGGCTGAAGCCCCCGAGGCAAAGGCGGCTCGCGAAACCCAGTCCCAGGCTTTCTTGTCTAATAAAGGATGAGAAACGGTGCGGAAATGAAGCGCGGCCATTGATTCTAATGCAGCCACTGCCATTTACATAGGCGAGATGCCATATCAGCGAAGTTTAGCCAGGGAGCCTTGTTGCATCGACATGGTCATGAAAACGGCTAGCGAGCTGAGAAGATATGGAAAGTTGTGTACGGGGTAGAGGCCTTGGGCGTTTCGAGGATTTTAATGTCAGCTGCCAGGGTCGTACTTTACTCTGTCCGCACAATTCTGTTCTCTTATTTCATCCGTTACATCTGTGATCTGTTCTGTACATCGCTATCGCCGCCAAGATCCCATCCCGAAACTGCCTTGTCTACATGCGACGCTGATCGTAATGGCGAGAAGTCAACGACAACTCAACGTGGCGACCGGTTTCCACGGTGATGCTATTACTTCAAACGATTTCTGCAAGCCGAATTCTTGTCTACTCATCCCCGACTCCTGCACGCGACTTTGATACGTTTCCAGTAATTACCGCAGCTCCGTCTCCAGACCTAGTCAACAGGCGTCTCGAGAAACGCACCGCAATCGTCAACTCCTGCGAGACGGGATTCATTGCCAGCGCCGTCACCAAGTCCACAGAATGCAAGCTCGGGGACACGGCGTGTGAGTGCCAGCCGTTGAACGCCAATGCCATCATGTGGGGAGCTTTCAACTGCATTGAGGCGGCTTGCGGCGCATTTGTGGCCGACGGTATAGGCAAAGACCAGACAGTCCAAAGTATTGTGACCAGACGTTTGCCGCTGACTATTCTGCACTGCTGTATCGGCCATCTCGGCAGCCAATGCCATATGCAAAAGCGTTGCGAACGGGGCTGGGTTATCATCGTCCGGTGCAGTACCGGGCCATTCGGGCGGAGGTCTCGATGGCAATTCAAGCAGTGGATGCCCTGGGAATAGAAATTCAGCAAGTGGAAGCTCAGGAAGCGGAAACTCGGGCAATGGCTACTCGTCTGGCTCGGCAAGTTCCTCGTCATCATCTTCAGGTGGTCTCCCTTCAGGAGCCATATTCGGAGTCGCCATCGGCGCAGCCGCAATCATCGTCATTGCCTGCGCTCTGTTGTATTACTTTTGGATACAGAGGAAACGACATTGTGAAATCACAAACGCCAATAGCCTCCCAGATTCCAGCCGGAAACGGACCTCCTTGAATGTCTTCGACGGTCCCCATTCCGGATGGCGTTGGCAAACCACCTCAAGTTGCAACATCAACAACTCCATTTGGTTCTCCCCATTACCCTTCGAGCGTGCCGAGCGCATCTCCATACTCAAGTGCCATGGACACAGTGAGCCCGATACCACACGGCTCTCCACCAGTATATCCTGGCACAACAGAGGCTGGGGACGGCTGGCAGCAGCAGCAGGCCAATTTGGACTCTCCCTCTCAAGGTGCCGGCGTCCGTGGACAAAACCGTCCACACAAATAGTCCACGGGCAAGCTGTCCCTCCGCTTCAAACACAGGAGATGTTTTCTGATCCCCCCTCAAGGAATGAGTTGCATAATCAGCCCAGTAACAACGCTGTATATGAGATGTCTGCAAAGCAAGGCAGCTGAGGATACAAGGGCATCAAGCCGCTTGGCCAATTTCATTTCCCTCTTTTTATAGCGCGGCCTACAGGTACAGTTAGATGTAGGTATTACTAAATCCGAGTAGATTACACAATAATGTTTACCGTTGAACTAGCGTCCACCAAACTCATCCATAGGAAACATGGCATAAATATGTATACGGAGGTAGAGAGTTGCACATCAGCCAGCGCAAGGGTCGATATGAATGTACCAATCGAAGGGATTGCAGTGACTAAGTGAATGGATGAGAATTTAATGATCCCCAGCACCTAAAGACGGCAGTATTCTAGACTTTAGGTACAAATCTGGGGATGGAAAAAAGCATTATTTGTGACAACTCAGCCAACCTCGAAAAGTTCGACAACTAGGCACGCTGACTACAACAGGTCTACAGGCTTTTAAGTGACTTGTCCAACTACCACTGCCATTAAAAACTATTAGATCCACAGGCATCTTGCTAAATCTCGTTGTTTAGCCCTCGTCTCCTTTTCCCTATATTTGCATTAACATGGCAGAAGCAACGGCAATGCCAATCATTCGACCAACAACCAGTGATTGCTCGGCCATTGGCCGCCGCGATAGCCGGCGGCAAAGTGGAAGATGAGTTGCCCCACGACCACGTTGGTGGCGTTCCGTTAACACCGACAGTAACCCTCACCGATACAAGAGCAGGCTCCGTACACGGGATAGTTGGCACGTATGCCCAAGTAATAATATCCGTGGCTGAAGAAATAGTTCAAAAGCTTCGCAGACAACGACCGCGGATGTTGAGGCGGTGACGCTGTGGATGCCAGCAAGGTCTGTGTTGAAGGTTAGAAAACAGACATGCCCGGCAAAACAGCTGCTACGAAGCGCACCTACAATCTTTGTCCCTGCCACTCCCTTTGATAAAGCTTCCTGGGTATTTTGCTTGTCGGCCTTCTGTTGTCCTAACCGGCTGCAACAAGACTGTGACCAATGAAGCTAACACTGCCGGCCCCGCCATCATCAAGATATGCCGTCTTTGAATGCAGTCAGAGAAAGACGCCCAGAACTAACGGCAAGGCTTAGATGTCAAGCTAAGTTTCAGATGATGCGCTTGTTGTTTGAATTTAAAATGTATGCCCTAATGGTTCTAGTCTCGCCAGAATTATGAGTTGGGTCAATATGAGTTGAACAAAAAGTTGACAGATTGCGACTATGGATCGCCAGATCTATGATAATATCTTCACATGACTATGAGGTGAGAAAGCCAAAAAGGTTATACTTGTAAGCGGCATATCGAGGGTATTCGGCCAAGTGCCGCTTTGCTGGATGGTTTTGCTCCACGGCTCAACGGTCAAACCATAAGCTTCGAGACACATGTAACGCATGTATATTTCGCATATAATTATAGCATAGCCACTGTGTAGACATAATTTACAAGCTTCAAAACCATCCTATTACATCTACCAAAGTTACCACTGAGCTATTGACATCTACACTATCACCGTCATCTATTAAATATCATTAACGCTTAGAACAAGTGCGGGATGCGATGTCTTCCCTCCATCGGCAACCGCCAACCAAGCCAGCGCAGACTAGGACAACAGATGATATGCCACCATGCTTGTCGTTAAAACAGCATACCATCGTCTTTTCAATCTTGCCGGCTGAATGACCTTAATTTTCTTCCGTCAACCAAAGCAACTGGTCCGTGATATCTATGTCGACCGACAAGTGCAAAGTGCATCAGTGCCCCGATCAGAGCTGCTGCGAACAAGATCGAAGACCAATTGGAATTTTGTGCAGTGACGGGATATGACTCTGGCCAGAAAGCCCAGAAGAAGGTCCATGAGCCAAAAACGACTGCGGCAGCGTTTGTCGGAATCCCATATCTGCCCAGGGAGAACTGGGCATGCGGCAGGGTCTCGGGGTAGTAGATTCTTCTCCACAAGAAGCAGCCAATGCTCAAACAGTAGCATTGGAGCAAGGCCACGGTGAAGAGCGAGGAAATGGCATAGAAAGCAACAGGGCTGCCGAGGTAAATGAGCGCCATTGCGAGCGTGGAGATGCTCGTCAGAATCGCTGCGTTTTGAGGCACGGGTCGTTTTGGATCAATCTTGGAGATCCAGTCGGAGAAGGGAACCCCCTTGTCGCGAGAAAAGGCATACAGATCGCGACTAGCGGCGGTTAGGAATGAAACGTTCGAACAGACTACCAGGAAGTTCACAACGACAAGGACGCCCGTGATCCAATTGCTAGACATGCTCCGTCGCAGCACGTAGACAACCGGGTAAGCTGTGTCGTCTTTGAGAGCAACGGAAATATCCGGAAGGTGGTATACAATCGTAAGAAGAAGAGGTAGTATCAACACAAAGCCGGACAAGAAGACTGCCAACATGGCCTTGGGAACAGACGAGGCCGCATTCCGAACTTCCTCGGACATGTGCACCGCCTTTTCCATGGTCAATCAACCGATTCTACTCAAGTTGCCGAACATACAATAATATAGGGGGTTCTGACATACCACATCAATGCCAACTTGAAAATTCGCGCCAGTCATATGGCCAATCAAGAGGGCAAGTGCCAAATTCGGCCATCCTCCTGTGTTCTCAAACCCTGTCCATACCTGCTCCGACGTAGTCCTTGGTGCATTCACCCAAATAGGGATTAAAACAGCAAAATAGGCCAGAACATGCAAGGCGAATGCGATGTTTTGCCAATGTGGTAAAGACCGATGACCCCAGATACTGCCAATAAAAGCTGTTATAACAGCCGCGACAATGAATAGAAACACGTGCCATGGCGGGCTTGTATAATCCGGGTTATTAACAAGAATGGTGGTCTGGATTAGGGTGCCTGTTAAAAGAACGCCAAGTGCTTGACCAGCTTGCATTGCCAGAGTTGATGTCCATCTACGGATCCCAGTCAGACTGTTGTCACCCCTTCAATTGTTCTGTTGGGAATCACATTACGTACCCGCTCACATAGCTGAGGACTCTTTGCATGCTCTCCGGTGCAAACTCACTCACCCAATGATACTGGGCACCAGCAATTGGAGCCATGCTAGCCATTTCAGCCATGCTCAGATATATGGGGGCGAAGCCGATGAAATTCCAGATGGTCGAGTATATCAAGCCCGGCCTGCCACCATCCAGAAGAGCAGGCGTAATCTGGAACATGCCAAACTCCCAGCCCGCACCAGCCACCGCAGCAAACGAAGCAACCGAGAACGTGCGAAAATTTCGGACTAGTTCCTGGTTTCTTCCCATGCGGCGCATGTCCGCAGCGTCGGCGGCGGTGGACTTTGTTAGTTGACGGTCATGCTCGGCATCTTCAATAACAGAGGCCTCGGCACCATGCTTGTTGTCTCTTGGAGTGCAAAAGGTCAAATTGTAATTGGAACTGGATTTATCTCTGAGCACACTGCAGTCCAGTTCAATTGATGTGTCATTAGGGCGGTGGACAGACTCTGCCTTGGGAATCATGGTTACGATGAGAGGGCGATAAAGTCAAAAGAATATACCAAAGTGCGAAAGAGAGTCCGACAGAAGAAGAATCTGTTAATTGAGAAAAAAATGAGAAAGAAAGAAAACTGAGTGGATGTGATGGCGACCGAAACACCAAGTTGAATAAGGCTTTCCACGACAGCTTACCATGGCCTTTTGCTACCCTGGCAGCAACCGCCATTTCTGAGTGGCCAATCTGGGCGCCAAAATGTTGGGCGCCAAAGCGAAAAGCTTGTAAACAGTCCAAGCTTGCATAATGTGGCCACGAGCCGCAGTCTAATCTCACCGCAAATGGCTCTGATCTGGTCACACAACATGAAGTACCCCATAATAGAGAGACATTCTTGGTTCAAGCTCGTCCCCGCATTGGAGATCACTTCCCACAGAATGAGCAGGCTGTACTCCAATTTACCCCTAAAAGCAGGGTCTCTGCTCCAATTGAGGCGTGAGATCGCCATCCTCGACCGTTTTAGGCACGAGCACAGCACCAACCGCGTAAAGCTCTTTGTTGATACGGTTGTCGTGATTAAATATGTCTTTTAGATACTTTTGCGATCTATCGCAAGAAACGCTGGGATCCTCCTTCTTGATAGAATTTGGTCGTGGCTGTTTTCAACTGCCGAACCGTGCCGCACAGGGCAACTGGCGACCATGTTTGAGAGAATGACAGATGATGATGAAGAGCCGATGTGGAATATCGTGGCAAAGAAGACTAAAGTGCCGCGAAGGCCAACGTGTCCGTGGCTTCCATAGGCGTGACTTCAAAAATGATGCAAAGCGCCATTCCTGTGTTGATATACCATCTGTTTCCCGTTTGTGGTTTCCGTGTGTTTGACAGAACCTCATAACGCCACGTACCATACAGTTCGGCCTTCAGGTATGACAATGGCAGAACCGGAGAATCATGGAAACTGGCTTGTCTGTGCAATGACCATTGTATGGGCTTGGTCGACGTTGATTTTCTTCGTTCGTGTTTGGGCGAAAGTAACTGCCAAACGCTGGGGTGCTGAAGACTATACAGTATCCGTTGCATTTGTAAGGTCATCCCGAAGACACCTCTGTTGATAGACCCCCTCTCACCTGTTCCGTTATAGTTGGTATCGACAATGGATATTGTGGCGATCATGTCAGCAATTCATCGAGGATACGGTCTGCCGATGGACCTAATTGCACGAGAGGATCAACTTGTAGTTGAAAAGGTGCACATCCATCTTTCAATACAGTCTTTGTTAAAGTCGCTTGCAAGTACTAATACGCATTAAGTCTCTCTACGCCGGTCAGCAGCTCTATATCTTCATCTCGGGACTTTCCAAGGTATCTACGGCACTCTTTGTCATACATTTGGCGTATTCGGGTCCCCAAAATAGACCAGGTTATGTGCTGGTTGGGGTCTCCGCGATATGGACAATCGGCTCTATGCTTGTCATCGCCTTGAGAGGCGACCCGCGTCGTCCATGGCAAACGCTAGTTGGAACGAAAACTATGGTGAGCTTGCAAGTATTTTGGAACGCCGATCTTATCTTCCTAATAATCATCAAAGTATTTCCGATGGATCGTCGTAGAGACTACCGGTCTCATTGTTGAGATTATGTTGGTCCTACTGTCCGTAAGCCTCGTCGGCAGCTTGCAACTAAAGGCACAAAAACGCCTTGTCATTTTGTCTGCTTTCGCTGCTCGCTTATTGTATGCCCCAGCTCTTCTCATGCGCATATCGGCCCAGTACTTACGACCAACAGGCTGATTCCCCTCGTTGCCGTACGACTCTGGTTACTCTCTCCAGGCGTGAACACGGGTTCGACAGACACGAGCATTGCACCAAGCATAATCACTCAATTCACGCTGCATTTCTCTGTCCTGTCCGCATCCATCACATCGCTTCGCCCGTTTTTGCGGACATTTCATATGGACTACAAATGGGACAGCAAAGTGACGTCAAAGCGCAATTACTCTTCAACCGGCTATACGACAACAGGGTCCTCATCAAAAAATGTATATGGAACCTCGTTACAGAGTGGTCGGGCCGATAGACAATGGGCGGACGACTTCACGGATCCTTCCGGGACACACGCCCGATTCATGAACAGGCCATCGACAGGAGGCACCGCAAGAAACATCGACGGCCTATTAGCGTGGAAACATGTCGACGAGATCCAAACGCGCCCGTCGTTCCCGGCAAAAACAATGGTTATTCAGAAGACGGTGGATTGGACAGTGGAGTACGAGCTAAATACAAATGCTCATACTCCATAGTCAACTACATGAATATATGACGAGATGAGAGCGATCAACGCGCGGGCTGCCGCAAAACGACCATAGTTTATTACTATACGGTATTTGGCCGAACTAGACATAATCTTTAGCATAATCTAATGAACTGTACTTGGCGTATCTCCAATAACGCATGTTCACGCAGTAACCCTAACCCTAGTCCATGCTTACCAGTCTTTTCATCATTGTCCAATTTGGTCTATTACCAGGCAGCATGACATGAGAGGCAGTTGTGGATGCTGAGAGTCCTTGCGCAGAATCAAATACAAGACTCGCAATTTCTCCTTTGTTGCTTGATTGTCATTGCTGACTTTTACTTTCCTTCACACTCAAATTCTTAATCAAGAGTAACAGCACGGTCCGGGCTTTCGACTGTTCTGAATTCGAGCTGCTTTAGTAACGGCAAGGGCCAGTCACGAGCCCAGGCTTCCTCAATGGCTTAGCGTACCCAATTGACGAGACTGGATGAAATAGAGAAATATCACGACAACCTTCTGCGGGAAGAAGCAAGCTTGACTGCATGTCTGACTTGAGGTAATTGGCCCGCTCAATGAGGGCAAATTGGTGCTGGATCAACCTCTTTTGTCTCGCAAAGCCATGTCTGAGAGACATGACCTCCAACTGGCACCTTAATGGAGCAGACTGTCTGCCTGGATGATCTTTGCCATAAACGGTCAATTGAGTCAGCCCTCTTCATTTGCAAACACATGCCTGCGACAACAACGTCGAGCATACAGCCATTATTTGTTGCGAGTAGGCGGTCAGAATCGTGTTGCTCTCTTACTCGAGGATCATGGACGCCGTAGCAATGAATTAGGATTGCGAGATGCTTTCGAGACAGTGCCCGCACTTGTCAATCTGATTATGAAAATTGTCGTGGGTCGTGGTTCCGTCTTTTCGTAAATCTGTTGAACCAATTTGTAGCAAAATAGACTGGCAGACTGCCTCATCAGACAGGCATTAGGAGCTCTCTGTAAATTCAATCATTCTTTTCCGATTACGCAAAAAGCGCGAATATGAAGCAATTGTCCCCCCTTGCCCACCCCTCTCCCCGAAGAATTATTCCGAGGGCACCTCCTGGTATAGGGTAGGTGCCTAAGTTGCTAAGAAACGCACCGACAAACGATGGAAGACTGCAAACATGCTAGGAAAATCTGAAGCCCTATACGAACACAAAATCCCTGGCGACGATGTAGAATAACCCTCTCACCTGCTACTGTACTCGAGAAATAGCTGCAGATCAATTATTAGACGAACGCAACCTTCCCATGGACAACATTCGAGTGGGTCCGAAAGCCGCAAAAATCCACAGCATTTTCCCGACATGATGGAGCATGAGGGGTTCTAGACTTCGACCAACCCTTTCTCACCAATTGCCATCGCCTCGCAATGGCACAATCGAAATCAGCAAAGCGAAAGAGAAAGGCACAGGCCCAATTGCCAAAGAAACATGTCAAAACCACAACCATTGTGACACCGCCTCCCGATGATGATGCCACTCAGTATGAACCAAAAAATTTGCAAACGGTCATTTCGGACGAAGAGCTCGACATCACCATTGAGACGTTGACAACTCTAGCGCAATACCCAAGCCTTACCAAGTCGAAGCTATGCAAAAATTTACGAACCGCCGTCTACGATTTCCGGCAATCATGTACCACGGGCGTGAACTCAGCCGAGGGCGCGAACCTCACCGGCCGCGTCACAGCGGCGCTTGCCGACGAAAAGTACCTTGAGGCTAAGATCTTGCTGGCTGAAATGCGACTACGAGGCGAAGAACCGAAGCTGGGTGCTCTTTGCCGCTGGGTTCGGGATCTGGATGTTGTTACGCAGCCCAATGGCGCGAGCATCGTCAGCCCCAACCGCTCCGACAAAGAGAAGGAACTTTTGGAAGTTCTTGATGCTGTGATGCGCGTCAGCTGCCCGATTGATACCAACCTGGAGGCAAAACCTCCATCCCAATTGTCCTCTCACATAGCTTTGCAGCCTACATGGGACTTGCGGCCTTCCACACAGCCACACCAAGTCTATGCCTCGGTCCTGGATAAATCAATCCTGTCCCATGGCCCCGACTCTCTCTCTTCCTCTCTCCGAATTATCGAGACGACGCCCGGACATCTACGCAAACCGCCGAACCACCATCCAGCCATTTTATACACGACAGAACCAAACACCGTTGACCTGTCTCCAGAGCATTCCGGAATAACATATCATAAGCACCCCAGCGTTCCCCATCTTGGCCTTGCCACTGGTGTCCTTTCTCCCGAGGAATGCAAGGCCATAATCGCCACAGGAGAGAGTGTTGGCTTCCTTCCCGATATACCCGTTCGAGAAGGCGAAGATACCAGCGTACTGGCGCACAACTTCTACTGGGTCGTAGACACGGCATTTCACGACAAGCTCTGGGCACGCATGGCGCCATTCGTCCCCGCTTCGCTCAATAGCCGTCGTTCCCGTGGCGTGAATAGACGGTTCCGTGTCTATCGATACGTCCCTGGGGCCGAGTACCGATGTCATATAGATGGGGCATGGCCGCCTTCAGGTATTCGCCCCGACGACACATATGTGTACGACGATTCCCCTGCAGAAAAGAAGCAAAGTTCCCTATTCACTTTCCTGCTGTATCTCAATGATGAGTTTGAAGGCGGAGAAACAACATTTTACATACCGGGGCAGCGTGAGGGGACACTCAATGCGTATCCTGTGCGTCCGGTGATGGGAGGCGTCGCAGTTTTCCCCCATGGCGAGACCAAAGGAGCATTATTGCACGAGGGGACAAGTGTACGGAAGGGAGCCAAGTACATCATCAGAACGGACATTGAGTATGACGTTGAGCCATCCGAGGAATAGGCACGAGAGGAAAGGACATGAACTATAACTTTTGATAACGCTACTACCTCGAGGACACCGACCTCCAGGAATTCAAGACGTATACGATGGGCCATGACCTTGAGTCTTGCAATTCAGCACTACGAAAATACTTGAATCCCGTGGGAACTGTGGTTCCATTCTACAGGGCCACGGGAACCAGTCATTCTCTAAGCCGACTGCACAACGTTTGTGTACCACGGAATTTCTCACAGAGTATCTTTCGGTCTTCCCTTGACTGGGTGCCCGCTGAGCTGGGTGCATATTCGCCCATTGGCGGCGAATAGAATGGTGAGATTGCGTGCTCCAGGAAGAGACCTTGGAACAATCTTGGATCGAGCTCCGATCGGGGACTATTAGCCCCGTATGGCTATTGAAGCGCGACCATGGCCGCCCTACATGGTATGAGTAGGGATGTACCTCAAACACGAATTCCCTAGAATATATAGAAGTGATTATAGAACTGGTAACATGACTCTCTGTGTATTACTCTGCTTCAGGACCAAGACCGAAATACTTGGCAACAGTCCCAACAAGGCAAAACTAGATATAGCATCTGTTACCAACAGGCACTGAAAAGCTAGCTTAGCCTCAGATTTTGCCCCTTTGAGGTATCTAGCAGCTGAAATTTGCATTTAGGCTCTATTTAGCCGGGCAATCTAATAGAGCAGTCGCCGCGGCCATAAGGATTGGTGCCTAGTAGCTTCAGGCTCATGCAGAATAACGTCCTCAGCCGCAGACTCTTGTGATCAACCATAACTGTGAATAGTCCTGCTGGTTGTCAACGAGGACTAGCGCTTATTTCTGTCGCGTGTCCATCTCAATTTTATATTGTAGGTGCGGGTGATTCAAACAGGCATAAAAGACTTGCGCAATTGTTCATGTACACGACGTCCTTTCTCATCTTTACATCTCATCTTTACATCTCATCTTTACATCTCGTCCCTTCTCTGTACACCAGCCATTCTTTTAACGTCTCACTCAAGATGCGTTGTACAATCAGTCTGTTAGCGGCAATTGGCGCTGCCCTCCTATCCTTTACCGCGTCTGCGACTCTTATGTCCCCGGAGCAAGTGGCAGTTCGAGATGGCCCCGAGACGCGACAACTCCCGGCCTCGAGCTACTTCAACCTCGAAGCGCCATCGCACGACCTCTTCCGCAACAAGGCTCTCCAAGACGGCACCGTCTAGCAAGGTTTCGCCTTCGACAACAAGAACCGCCGGCTTTTCGTGGCTCAGCTGAAAAACGCATCACCCGAAAAAGAGGGCGACCTGGCCATCACGCAGCTCGACTTTACGGGCAAGAAGCTGGGATACATGTACCTCAAAGGCTTTAGCCACGGCGTCGGCGCAGACACATATCTCTGGACCGAGGCCGACGTCAACCCAGACAGCAGGTACGGCCTCAAGCTCGCGCGGTTTAAATTCCAGACCGGCAAAACCATCACCCCTGCTTCCGCTGGTGTCAAGACGTTCAAGCCCTTTGCCAACGGGTCATCATTCACCTGTGTTATCAACCCGTCTGATGATACGCTCATTGTCCGCTACCAGCTCAACGGGGCAAAACACATTGCTGCGTTTCCGCTGTCAAGCGCTGCCAAGGGCGACTTCTCCAAGCCGCTGGTGAGCTTCTAGCAGCCGGTGATTAAGCGGCTTCGGATGTGTTTCGGGGATACGCTGCTTACGGGCAGTATCTGTACGTGCTTACGGGAACGTCGTACGAAAAGAGTGGTGGCAAGGTCAACTCGGAGTTTACGAGCGTGGACATGAACACGGCCAAGATTCAACAGGGTCCTCTTTTGGCCAAGGCTGGAGAACCGCTGTCGTTTCGCGAGCCGGAGGGCATGGCGGTTTATATGACGGCGTCTGGGGAGCCTAGGCTATTTCTGGGCTTTGCATCCGGGACCGAGGCTGGACAGCGCTGGTCAAATTTATTCTATAAGAATGAGCTTGTGAAATACTGACACGGGCGTAAACAAGGGAAATGAAACATGGGGGATTTTTCGGTTTGTATTTAGAACACAAGAGTTCATATATATGTTGTCAACGGAATACCAGGGGTGATGACTGCTTCGCAAGCAGAGCATGTTCTTTTTTCGGCTGTGACAAGGGCTCCATAGAGGGCTTGTGATTAGCTTTAAATTCAATCTAGTAGTTGTCTTTGGATAAAAGGTCCTTGGCTTTTATAATCTAGGGACCTGACCTCTGACCTGTACATATACATGATATCCTAGGTGTGTGTAGCCTGACCTGGATGACTGAGGCATCCGGGTTATAGCTGCCTTGGGATTTCATCTTTAAAGGCCCGGTCTGACCTCCTGACATTTTTGTACCCCCGCCATGCATCCTTTATGCTGATGCAGCCGGTTCCAGACGCATGATGATATATTGACCGTCTTCGGAAGGATATGTCACTCCGTGTGACACCGAAACACACGCCCACACACGCCCCCACACACACACACACATGCATACATGCATACATACATAAATATACTGTGGCAGTTCTAAGAAGAAACCACATCTTTCTGTAGAATAGCCTAGAGTAGAAGAAGATGTGGATAGATCTTCTTCTATAACAGTGCTAGCATACATATAGCAGACGGTGAATCAGGCAAATCCACTTGGCTCACACAAATATCCATGATTTTTGAAAAATGACACTCTTGCCACAATGGCCACGACAGTATACGCCAAAGAGCGTTCCGCCCCTCTTACGGTTTGTTGCGAAATCCATCATGGGCTACACGGAGGCCACGTAGCATCGCGGCACGGACCGACCCTCGAACTTGAAGATGGTTACACAAGGGGTCGAGACCTAGCTGAGGCCTTGGGCTTCCAGGCTTGAAGGTTCACCGCTGCTTCAGATTAAAAAGGTCATCTGCCCCAAGGGCTATAAGGAAAACCAGGGATCTCTAATGATAAATTAAGTAGCTGGATAGAAGAGACACTAATCCGAAACACGACTAGCTTGCGGGTTATTCCAACCACACCAAAGCCAGAAATCTGTTGGAAAAAATATCGACTATCCAAGAACACCGCGGGTCGGTGATCAAGGCTGAGTGAGGAGCATGGGATTGCTAAATGGAAGGAGTTTAAACTTGAATTCCTTAATGAGAGTTTCGGCTACATTCTTAACCGGGAAGCTCCTGAAAGAGGCATCCTAGTCCCAGATGCCACTCCGCTGAATAGCGAAATCAAGATTTCCGAAGCTCGCGATATTCTGCGTCTGATCGAATGGAATAGTCTTGTAATTGATAGGGCTCAAAAATCAACAAGAGAAAGCCTTGGCCTTGACACAGGCGTCTCCCTGCTGAACGATTTCACTGCTCCAGACCACTCAACCAGGGCCAGAATCAGAACGATATCCTTGATCACCCGTTGTTGAAGCTCGTGGTGGGCCTCGTGAAATCCTATAGGAAATTTCCGACGAGCGTGCTGCTCGCTGATTCTCAAGTCACATCAACAGATCAGATGTGGGCGCTGGGACAACTTGCCAACTTATGCAGACTTGCGAAGACTCGATACGGACACATCATGACCGACCAGGCGCTCGTTGCGTGCCGTTACACCACATTTGAGGAAGATCCCGACTTCCCCTTCGGTAGGTTCAAAGTTGCTCTTATGCCAGTCCCATGGTCCAAAAAAAAGCGCCGGCACAGCTCACGACAGACCTCGCGCTATGGTGGCTCTGTATGCTGGCTGTCTCGGCTCACAGCCGCTCGTCGGTTGAGCATGAAATAGTTCCGATCAGCAAGTGGGACGTCGAATACTATGACGATGAGCGCGGCTGGGTGCGTCGCCACAAATACTCGGGTTATAAGGAGCCCACGGAAGCCCCGTCTCCTCCAGCCTACGAGACACCGGCGTCCGACGACGGGGCCGGCAATGCCGCTCTTTTCATGGCCGGAGTAGGACTCAACGTACTATAGGATTTCGACTCCAACGCTCCCCTCATCCCGGGCCAACCTGCCGATCTTGGGCTACCATTCCGGCACAATCCTACCGACGTCATTGCTGCATATGACGGGCAGGGCTTTGGCCTTGATGTGGATGTTGGCAATGACGGACAGGACCAAGTTGAAGGCTAAACTGCCACTCAGTGAGGGCAGCGTGGTGCACGAACTCGGGAGACAAACTTGAAAGCTATAAAGGAATAGGTGGAGCCTGGAGGGTTGGAACGACGATGTCAGAGCAAGAGTATCTTGGGATGCTAACTCCCTTGTGATGCAACTGGCACCCCAGGAAGAGCAAGACAGCCACGGCTTGTAGAATCAGCGGCTTGGTACATGATTGGCTATACGGAATAATTTTAGGCGTAAGTACTATTTATTGAACTATGAAAAAAAAAAGGGGCTAGATGAAGGGCATCTAGTAAAACTGTATTTTGGCCGCACCTAGGCCAGGGAACTGTAACTAACCACGCAAGACACCATGAACGCATCGCGATGCGTCAGACACACTAGCCGAATTGGTGAAGGTACTATTTATAATTACTGGTTATTGACCCCTGGAGTGGCATCTCCACAGTCAGTCGGCCTCCCAAGAGCTAGGACCAACAGTCTCTCACCTCGTAAGGAAATAGGAAACCGTCTTTCAGGTACCACTGTAACCAGACCCCCGGAGGATTGCCAGCTCTCAGCTTGGCTGCAATAACCGGGCGAAATCTGCAATCAAAATGCCACAAGGATGGCGTAGACGTCAATGGTCTGCGTGTTCTTGAGATGCCCTCCCGTCGCGGAACGCCTTCGCGCTCCGGAAGAACATTTGATATTCGATCTGATCGACGCCGCCGTATCGTATCACCGCCGTTTGTCTCCAGATTTGCCCCGCGCATCCTCCAGTCATACGATCTCGGGTCAACGTAGGTGAAGATACGCTCCTTGGCTGCTTTGTTTCTCAGATTGTACGGCAGCTCACTGCCACGGCCGCCAGGAAATGCGGTGATGGAGATGCGGCGCGCCTTGCCCATGAACAGGTTCCATTCGCGTATCATGTCGTCAAAACTCTTATAGTCTTGCAGTGCTATGGAAAAAGTCGCAAGCTCCATGAGTGAGACCATATCGGCTGTCAGATGCGGATTGATCTCCGGGGTTGTCAGAAAATGAGGAGTAGTGACGGCGGTGCTGAAGTCGCACAACTTGCCACTGACAATCTGCACGTCTCTAACATCAATGCCGATAATGCCGAGCTTCTGTAGTCTGATGATGTCGCGCAGGACGTTGCGGGCAACCGCCGGCCGCAAGTTGTCCTCGTCGGCCACACCCAACTCCTTGACGATGCCACGAATAGGCGGCGGCCTGCCACTCTTTCCCAGAAACCGCGAGCGCAGCTCATCCAGTCCGGGGTAGTCGCCGGATCCGGTGAAGTCTAGGTCGGCCCCGGACGCGACTTTGGGGAACTGAGCCATGACGGTGCGCTCGTGCTCCTCATCGAGCAAGACGTAGCTGTAGCACTTGAGCGCCACCGTCTCGTGGCCTGATTCTTGAAGGCGCCCAAAGGCACGGCACTCGCAGGTAAAAGGGTCCGCATAGTTGTAGAGGGCAGAAAACAGTTCACGGTACTCGTCACAATCGTAGTCGTCGGTGGCAGGTGCAGGCGGCCCCTCCCAGTCGTAGTCGTAGGGAAACCGAAACTATTGACAGCTCACATGCAGCTAGTTAGCGTTCTCGCTATCCGAGATTTGGCTGGGGCTGTCGAGACGCTCGATGTCGTTTACCAGCTTCAAGGCGTACAGTTGGCCCGAGATTTCGACTTTGAAGACATGTGCATGAAGGCCCTCTCCGATATGCTCAATGAACTTGATGTCTTGGGGGCCCTGGAAATTAAACGGAGGCAGTTTCGGGCCATCTACCTACAATGAAGCGCAGTTCGTAAACATGCTGAACCTGTGGACCGCGCGGGTCGAAGTGGTGGCATTTGGGGGGGTGGGGGTGCAACACGCACTTACCTGCGGGAGTGGCACCAAATCGGCCTCTGATTCTGGCCAGTCGGGATACATGTCGGGCGTTAGACAGTAAAGGACAAGTTTAGAGAAGAAGGGAAAAGGCTTTGAACGAGAACTGACCTCTTTTTAACTAGCAACAGCTATTCTTGTGACGCACTGTGACTGAGGCGAATCAAACACAGTAGCCAGTACATAATGAGACTGTCCTTTTTCTGCAAAAAGCTGCATGAGGTCACAGTGCGGTATGCTATTGGTTTACTGTGATGCATGAGATGGGCACGCAGTGAGGTCCGTCCATGTTGAGCGCGGTAGGGCGGCGTGTGGCCGGGACAGACCAAAGGATTGACTGGTCTCTTTTGTCCCGATTCGCGGATACTGACAATGAAGACTGATACAGCACTCTTCTGCGTCTTGTCATTGGAATGAGTACAATTTAAATCCCTTAATTAAAGAAACCACCAATTCCTCATTTGATGTATTTATAAGCCGTTTTTCCTTGCAAGCAGTCACATAGGACCATAGCTGCTAGAAAGATCTGGATCCCGTTTGATCTCCGAGCGATAAACTAGCAAGCGCTGGATTAGTAGTTGGGTCGGGGACGACCAGCGAATACCCGGTGTCCTATGTTTTTTATTTTTCGTTTTTTTTCTCCTAGAGACCATTGGGGCGAATGGCCCTTATTTATGCAAAGCAGCGAGCAGCGAGCCTTCGAGCGTGGAAGCCTATGGTTCGACTTGGCTTGATGTGTATAGCATGAACCTACTATTCCGGGGTGCAGAGTGGGCTAATAGATGGGAAAATAACTGACTGGTCCCTAATTTAGGTAGCATTTTGGAACGCGAACTGAGTAACTCTACCCTCTTAATCTAGAGAAGATACTTGTAGCTACTCATGCAGCAAGATTTAGGTGCTTTTTGTAAAGAACACTTCAACCCGAATTGCTAGATTAGTTGACCCCGGTGCCTCTTTTGGTGTAAATTGCGTTAATGCTTGTAGATTAAGGAATGGAATATTGCGCGGTTAAAGTAGCATGCTGTCATACGGCCAAGGCCTGGACAAAAGTATCGGATATCAAAGGTTACACAACAACAAAGAAACCACGAGAGCCTAGAGACGAAACTTGATAAGGGCTGCCTTAGGCTGCTAGAGCTCATTAACTTATTATATAAAGATCTTAAATCTCTTAAGACCTCTTTAAATATCTTAAGACCTCTTTTAAACTAGGGACCTTCACTACCTTAAAGTTAATTATTAGAGATTAAATTAAACCCAATGTTCCAAGCCCAACTATCCTGCCTTTATCACACATGCTCCATGTTATGGGCTCGAGCTGGCAGCTCGGGCCTAGGCCGGACCCGATGCGGAGGCAGCTCGGACCCAACCCGGATAATCTACGGGCTAGGTAGGGATATAAAGGGGGGTAAGAAGGGGGAAACCTTTCTTTCTCTTTCTCTTTCTTCTTAAGTTTATTCTTACTTTCTAAAGACGCATACTTACAGTAGTATAGTATGGCCAGTCCTCAACACTCCACTCAAGAGGCGAGTCTGCTCTGTCAATGAACTAAACAGAAAGAAAGTGCCTTGAGCAAGACAAGACGACTGGGATATTACATTTCGAATATCGAAACTAGATCCATCGCCACCGCAGGAATAGGTCCAAGACGTTTGATGCTTGCGATGGCATCTATCGGTCCGACTCCCCTCACTGGTCTCTCCAACTCGTGTGTGACAAGGGCAGTGATACTGGGCTTGGAACGTAACAAGTTCAATTTAATCTTTGATAATCGACTTAAAGGTATCAAAGGTCCTTGGTTTTCTAAGAGGTTTTCAGGGACCAGAGGTCTCTATAAATACAAGAAGTCGGTGTGCGATCGAGGCCTGAGGCTGCCTCTGGCCCAAGCCCTAACCGGGGTCTCATGGTACCTCAAGCTTCTTTGTTCTCGTGATACCTGGAGCTTCTTTGTTGTTGTGTTACGCCTTTGTTGGCCCAACGCCTTTGTTGTGGCTTAACCGTGTGACACACTATTCTGCAAATCGATGCGGCGTGACGTCTTGTGTGTGGCCATTCCATTATCTTGCCGCAGCATTACTCTTGGCAACATGTCGAGTCTTGAACGACAGTACGAAGCAGCGTTGCTCAAGCCTGGAGCAAGGCCATAGTCACTATATTCATTGCCCCATACTCTTGCATCAAAGTACATACCAGCACTGATTACCCAATAGAACCAACATGTCTATCTCGTTTATCGAAGAATTTTCTCCAAGGGGGTGACTTCCGAAGCTTGAGTAGGTAACCGAGAATGCCAACCCAACTACTTCAGAGTAGCCTCAAGACACGAGCATTTTCTCTGAACTGCGAGACTCACCATGTAGATTCCAGTATAGTCACCGTTCACGGCCTAACCGGATCCAGGGGCGAACCCTGGGGATTCCCCGTCGGGGGAGAAATGGATCGAGCACGAGCTCTTCCTGAAGAGTGAGTCGCGCGTGCTGGTTTTCGAATACACGGTCGAGTCTGTCTTGAATGGCATCCACAGCAGAAAGGACCTTGTGCACCCGGCCAAGTTGCTTCTCAAGGCGTTGGAACGGTGGAGGACGGGGCCACAAGGGGTTTGTCGCCACGTACCGGGTTCTTGATTTCTCCTTCTTACTTGGCACAGATACGGCGACCGTTGGCCTTCATCTGCCAAGATATTGGTATGACGATTGTCAAGAGAGTGAGCACTTTTCAGCCTCAGTTTTCCAATCGAAACTCAGGGCCACTGACAGGACCTAGGCCCTCGCCACGGGATCAGGTCATGATGAAAAGTCTGGGGCTATGCTTCAGGCAACATATGCCCTGGTGTGTTGACGGCGCGTTGCTTCCCTAGAGCTAGTATTCGTGACGAGCCACGCTAGTTCCTTCTCTGACTACATTTTTGTCAACTGCCCGCATAGGCCGAGTGGCCAAGACGAGCTTTCAGAGGCCCTTGCTGAAGTGTTTTACAAAGCGAGGTGTCGGGAAGGACTCGGGGTCCTCAAGTTTGACGAGAAGGGTAGGTCGCATATCTTCCGCTACTGTGATGTACAGAACTCACACAAGTGACAGGTGAATTGGTCGTGTCGCCTATGAAGGCTGAATTGAAGGGTCTCCAACACCTCGTCACTTCCGATCCCGTAAAATTAGAAAAGCAAGTCAATCATTCGGCGGGGACGTCCTGGAATACCGACACGACATGGATAATGTCGTGCACTGAGTGGCCAAGTTCAAGATCACGGATCCTACATCTGATCAATTCGGAAAGACAGCCAACAACCTGGACGAGTTAATCAGGTATATGAAGAGAAATGGGGAAAAATCTGGATCACAATTTCCCATCTTCACATTTACCTTTGAACAAAAGCACCCTCGCGCCAATACGGCCAGGGCCGTCTTGAAATCATTGGCGACCCGGCCCCTCTGTTATCTCCTTGTAAGAGCCGAGAGGTGGGGAGGAATCGAGCCGGGAATCGAAGAGGCCCTGCAAGATCCCGGCCGACTAACGGGCATGGCGATCCACAACCTTTTTTTAAGACGTGAACCGTTGGTTCTCCAGAAGAACCGAGCGAGTAGTCTGGGTTGTCTGGGGAATCAGGAAATCTTCTGCAGAGCTGCTGACCTTGGTCGAGAGGCTGGTTGGCTCCAGAAATCTCTCCGAATTCAAGCCCTGCGTCGTGTTCGAGACGGCAGGCGACCGAGTCAGCGCAATAACTTCGATGAAGGAGCACCACATGGTAGAGACAGTCCGTTTGAAAGGGAAACCATGGGTTGAGTGTCAGAGCGCACGAGTGTCGTCAGATGTCGAAGACCTAGCGGCAAAATACCCATGTGGATTCTATGCCCTATCGAGCATGAGCTTGAGCAATGTTTCAAACGGGTCGCAGAAGATGAACCTATCATGTACAGTGTGATGCCAAAATGGGTAGCAAAGTCAGCTACCTTGGAGGATGAAGGGCTAATTCGATCCACCATGTCACAAATGCACAGATCAGCAGCACGGAGGCTTGTATCGCTCATCCTCGGCACGCTACCGAATAGCGAACGAGCACATACGGCAAGGCTGCTACTAGTGGTTTTATATTCGAAACGGACTCTGTCGTGTTTAGAGGTGTCCCACGCGCTCGCTCTCGAGGATCTCGAGGCTAGCGCAGACAGTGAGCAAAGACAGGGCCGGTATCTTGACCTCGGCCACGAGGTGCTCAAGCTGAAAAGCGCTTTATGCGGATTAATTACCGTTAACAGCCTCAGTGTCATGACTAGCGGTGCATCAATCTAGGCCATTCCTATGCATTCGGAGCTGTTTACTTCACAGTCACTTGAAGAGACACATATGCATATGTTGGAAAAACTCCTCAGCTATCTGGCCGGGAGGCTTCAGAGGCGGACCAGAGTGGTACACCACCTCTGCTACACTATGCGGCTGGCTGGTGGACAGAACACTACACACCGTCTAGCGGCCGAGGGTATCGCCACCAAAGCCGGAGCGGTTGAAACTTTGCACCGTTTCTGAGTTGCTGAAGTCTCCGGACTGGAGACGTAGCAGCGACATGGTTCTATCAGCCATGGTCGGCGACTTGAGAGGCAACCAAGTAGCCCTGGTAAAGGACCTTTGCACACTCATGCCGGTGAGAGCTCTGTAAATACGCAAGCGCGCTCGGAAATAATGTGGCTTCGTATTTCTGTTCATAGCTCCTAGTCCTTTGCAGAGTCGTCGGGTCCTAAATTCGAACAGAATTTTCGAAACCTCAACGTGTCAGGGACGAATAGTGGTGAACTAGCGCTCGGGCTATTAAGGACCTACTAGGTGTATTATATAACTTGATTATAAGATTATAATAAGATATAAAAAAGAAATTTAGTAAAATATAAAATAAAAGGTTTAAAAATTAATATGATTATAATTATAACTCTACTTAATAGCTCACTCGTAGCGAGGCTCTCTGCCGCATCTCCCTAGTCACTCTGCTAGCAGCCCAACGATTCTGACACAACGATAATCTGCGCCAGGGGTAAGTACATTATGAGTATGTTCCAACATGTCTGACTGCCCCGTTTCAGCAAACTTTTCGAGAAGTCGCTATAATACCGCAAATGGTGGTTCTCACCATGAGTTTATCCAACGCCTAGTAGTTCATCGTGTCACTCCAGGTGTAGATCGCAACAACTATACAGAAAAAAAACTCACTTGAGCTAATACGACATGCAGTGTTCATACCCGCGCTAGCAAACACTGTAAAACGGAGTGGTGATTTATTAGCCGCCACGACCTACATCATATGCCCCGCCCTTGGGTAACTTGCTAGTATTCATATCGTACCCGGGGCGCATTTCGTTCCCAGCCATGGGTGTAGATAGTACTAAAGGCATGTAAGTCGATCGCCAGGTAGCCATGCAATAAAGCACTTTATAAAGCTGAAGAAATTTTCCATGTGTACTCCGTTGTTCTGGGCAAGAGACTCAAAGTCTGTCTTTGGTGGTAAAAGGACAGGACCTTTCCATTCACCTAGTGTACGTAGTTCCAAAGATGTGGTTTGGATCACCACTTCTAATAATACTTTTTCCATATTCCAAGCCCTTATTTAAAGGGTCAAAGATTTCCCATCTTCTTACTAGATGGCCCGTCACACCTAATACCAATACTAAATAAGTAGCGAAGAACGTACTCCATACCAATTACCCAACCCTTTGGCTCTGTTGCCGATCGATTCGAGTTCGCCATTACTCCCTGGACCAATATCTGAACCGGCTTACTTGAAGCGTTGTAATCCCTTTCTCGGGGCCGCGCACGAGAACAGAGGCGCTAAAAAACGCAACCCTTCTTCTTACCGGCGATCAAAACGTTGGGGTCCTCTCTCTGCAGATAGCCCTGGTTGATCAAATATGCGATATTCCCTATTCCACCAGTATAGAACTGTGCACCAAGTCCTGGTTGGCCAAACCATGGCGCAATGGGTCCCCCGACAACAGGGAATGACTGAATGACTCGGTAGAGGTGGTAATTGTAGGGAAAATTTGGTGCAGACGCGTTCGTGTTGAGACTAGAAGGAGGAAGCGCCCTCTGAGAGAAGGGAGCGTCCGCGGCAGACACGAATGTTCCTACGACCGAGTTAACTCAACTAACCGTGGCCATGGGACAGTTTGGCGAGGAAACCTACCGCCTTCGCCTCCAAAGCGGTCTATCAGGGTTCCGGCTTGCAGAATCATAGTGCCATTGATGGCGTTGCCGTCTGTGTTGAGCTGAAATCCATTCTGCGGCGGGAACACATACGTCCCGTTTTCATTCGTCCACTTCTTGAGGAACTCGCCTGGAGTCAAGCCCCCGAAACGGTCATAGTCTGATATGAACGTAGCCAGCGGCAGCTTGCGCGGCAGGACTACGGGTCCGAGACGCGAATCATGGCAGATGTACTGTGCCGAATCAACGCCGCTGTTGGTTGTGCCGGCGCAGTTGCATTGTTTGGGGTCATGAGCCAAAGCAGAGAAAAATACCAGCGGTGACAAGAGGAATGCTGAGAGCATCTTCATTTTGACACAGTGCTTGACTTTGCCGAGTGGGTGTTTGGAAAGCCTGTATAATGAAGAAGATTAGAATATCAGGTTTCGAGTGTCGTCGGGAAGGCAAGTGACTTGTAATTAATAGAACTATTTCGTCAATTCCAGATGAGATACAATGGCCATCCATGTGCTGTGTTTATCCTCGTTGGGCAGTTTGTTTTGCAGTTTATAATATCTAGGTTGGACAGGAAATAGCAAGTGCATGCCATTGCACCCGTTGGCAGACCAATCAGAATTACTAAGCGATAACGCTTCCATACTTGACATGGCGGTCTTGACTGGCCCAAAATCTAACTGCTGTACCAAAAGGGACATTTGTGAGACACGGCCGTTACATGAATTTCGAACGATCGTCACATCATCAGCCATGATTCGCAGCTGATTGCACCAAGAATCAATCTGTTCCCTGCATTCATTCCTCGGAAGTTAGTTGGCACGGAAGCGGCGAATGGGCACTTTGCGTCATGCGATGTTTATCAGCAATATTTCTGAAGGTATTCATCATTCTGTAAATGGGTCATCATCTCAACGGCAGACCTTACCCGGATTTATCCTGCTGCCGGTTGCTAATACAGCGGTTTGCCTACAAAATACCCGCACATACTAGTATTGGCGCTGATGACTGGTTCACTCTCGCGATGGTTTTGATCGGCACCCCAAGCACTCAACTGTTGTCAATGCAAGGCTTATTCCCGTCAACAGCCTGGGGCGTGACATCTGGACGCTTACACCAGCCCAAATCACCAACTTCTTCCTATATTTCTGTGTACAACTGATAATCTCCGTAACCGAGGTCGCCGTAGCAAAACTTGCACTCTTGTTCTTCCATCTACGCATATTCCCCGGTACGGCCGTCCGATGTCTACTCTGTGGGACTATCGTTTCCGTCTGTCTCTTTGGGCCGGCTTATATATTTATTGCATCCTTTCAGTGCACACCAATCAGTTACTTCTGGAATATGTGGGACGGCGAGCCCGGCGGCAGATGCCTGAATATCCGCCATATCGTGGTCAAATGCCATTATCAGCATAATTCTTGATATTTGGATGCTGGGCATTCCTTTGTGACAACTTAAGAGTCTCAAACTGGGCTGCAAGGAAAATGTAGTTGTGGAATAAATGTTTTCAATAGGGGCATTGTAAGTCATTCCATCAACTTGGCCGTCCACGAAAGAAGCCAGCAGCTGACAGATGGGTTTACACGTCCACAGCGTTACGATTGTGAGCATTTTGCGCCTGAGATCTCTTGTCAAGCTATCATTTTCCATGACTAACCCGACGTGGGATTTCGCCGACGTGGCCATTTGGTCCAATGTTGAGATAAACGTCAGCATCATTTGCGATTGTCTCCCAACAGCGCGTTCAAGGCTAGTTCAATTATTCCCCAAGCTACGAGAAACGACCAATTCATACTGGGGAAGTGCAACTGGCCTTGTCAGTTATGGGCGGCGAGACGTAGGTAACCAGGCGTCACAGGTTAAATCAGCGGGGGAAGGAGGCACGAGGAACAACGGAATCACGTACCAGGAAACATTCACTGTTGTGTATCTGGATAACGATCAGATTCAGCTGGTAGCTGCGAGGGATATAGACAAGGTGAATGCTTTATTAGAAGTATCGCTTTAATATAATAAACGAATATGTCTCAGGTAAACTGGTATCTTGACAAGCAATAGTAAATACAGAGAACTGGCAGCATGAGGAACATTCTTGCTGAGAGAAAGGGAATATAAGTCACAGGCCGATGATCTGCCAGCAACATTGGGCGGCCAGAGAGGTCAAAGGCGCTGAGTCGGCCGATCATAGCCAGCACTATGATTATCTATCAGACGTAGAGGTTACTGTCAGAACTAACATGTAGCCCCTGAACTAATGTTGCGCATTGTGTTGAACCACAAACAAGCGTATGTATATTGATGACAGTTCATTGTGGGTGGTCATCAACCCCCTGATGGGGGCTTAGCCCAGATTTGCCGAACAATCAGTATGCCGAATTGTACGCCGAAACGGCTGACCAGCCGAAGTCAATTTAGCAAACTGTGGCTTGGAGCCACGGCAAACCCCGCGTGTCGTGTCGATCCCCTCTCACAGGGCGCGGCTGTTGTTGACGCCACGAGAATGTCCCTTCATAACCGGTCACATATGCCGCAATGAACACCTCTATAATACCCGACACTTTAACGGGTAGACAAGGTCCAAGCGTCTCAAGCATGTTCTTCGGCTGCTGAAGCCACCAGGCGAGTGAGCCTTGCGGGCGTAAGGCCAATGGTGCAGTTGTCATAGTCATCCTAGAAGGAGAGTCAACAGACAGATAGAGAGATTGAGCCAGAGTTTACCGAGACTGTGTACTCCTTGTATTAAAATTCTCGCTTGTCAAGTAAGCTTTCATCTGTAATTGGTCTAGACGTTCCGGAAACGGTAATAATGTGAGATGCATCCAATTTGGCATTGGTACACAAGATGCTCAAAGCAGGAATATCCAAAAGCCCAACTGACAGGTAGGCTGTTTACGACACACAAAGAATTGGTGGCCAGTCTTGGCGTCTGAGTTGTGGCCATCGACTGAACTTGGGAGTGTCAGCTCAATTTGACCATTGCAAAACGTCCGGTACATGGTAGTGACCGCATGATGAGCTGCATCAACTCACTAGTGTGTTTGCCTTTTTGAAGGCCATTTAGTCCAAGTAGGGAGAAGCCAAAAAGAATATCCAAATCCAATCTACTCAATATGCCACAATGCCCTGAAATCAGACCGGGTTCAGGCTAAGCAAAGTGGCATCTTGCTCCTGCATTCCAGTTGTGCCAGCCTGCAGCTTCCCCCAGACAGAACTACCAAACGTCTGGAGGAGATAAGTTTGGTATTTGAGCACACGAAGAAATACTGCCGAATTAGTGACCATCTATTGACCATCTACCTGACTGGTGGAAGCCCTTGATGTGACCGCCAAATACGGAAACATTTCCCCAACACTTATGGTCATACCTCTTGTCGCACGACTGAACCAACAGCGACAAGATGTTAAACCTGCTGTGAATGCCTGGAATTAAACAAGGCAACCCTTATAAGTCGAATGATATCGACTTGTCTTCAGGACAGCGCAGTCTGGACATGATTTGCACTACAAAAGTATGGTTCTCGTATCGAATGTTTGCAATTTTTACATGAATGGTCTTATGGCCATTTCCGATAGGCACTTGTCAGGGAGAGTTCGTGACGGCTATCACGAAGTATCCCCTATGCGCTGTAGGTCAAGATTTGATTGCTTTTGCTGACTGTCTTGAGTTCTTTTCTACTAAATAAAATTCCTGAAATAGATTTCTTGCCTTGAACCAGCGTTGAGGCAAATGCAATGTGCTCTCACTAACTCTTCTTGCATTTGTGGCGATCAAGCTGTTTAGCAATCCATAATCGCTTGCGTTCCAAAGAACTTTTCAGTTCAAGCATCACTTTATGAGTTAGATGATTAGCAAAACACTGTTTTAGAAATAACTTGCCCTTGAGTGGTTAAAAATCTCACAGCTCACGCCTGCGGTGAACCGATCCGGGATCGAAGTCGGGAGCACCTTACCGTCTCCAACACCTTGGGCATCATCCCAGGCCTATTGGTTATCCAACGCTTTGGGTACAAAGCATGAACCAAAAGAGACTTCGGCCTGGACGATTTGTCCACGCCAATTGTGGAGATCGGGATGGAGATACAGATGAGGCGGATCTTGTGCCACTGAGAGACGTGCGAGCCATGAATACGACGACTTTTGGGAGGCACTGTGATGAGTGAAATGCGCAAAATATATTATATACATTAGCTTATTGCAATTTAATAGAGCCACCGCCGGCCCATAGAAGGGGCTCCATTTTCGTTGCGTGGTTACTGGTTGGTGACCTGCATTGCGTTACCATGAAGGAATCAACATGCCACAAGCCAACCGTTCCATTGCTTGACAACTGGACGTGTCCGTCTGATACGCAAAATCATGAATTTGAACTTATTGATCATGGTTTTTAAACCCTACTTTTAATATCATATGTGTAGGACTGTCCACGGCTGTTAAAATGTCCTCTTCACGTGCCATGCTTTACAAAATTGAAAGGTGAAGTAAAGCGTGCCCTAATGGCAAATGGCACCGGGGTGTTCGCTGACAATAAGTACCAGACCTGATGGCCTCAGACGCTATTGTTGCCGGAGGTTAGGTGTCTTTCTCGGGGGCTAGCTTGACGACCATACTATTGACATATGTAGTCTGTAACAAGTGCCCGTCAGTTGTCTCAGTAAGAGCCTGCGAAAGTTCGTCTAAGTCAAATATGTAGCCTAGCAATTGATCCCCGTTTAGTGTTCTAAAGCTGCACCAACCATGTAGGATACAGGTGTATCGATTAGTTCAACCTTACACTATACTACTAGTGACGTAGAAAGAGAAGAATACTAGTTACTATTATTATGTTCACCACAGATATTACCCGGATTCTTCCGGCAGAGAGCATCCAACAGACCCGAAATTAAGGGGAAGTAATTACGACATGTAATTGCTGTTTAAACTTAGATTGGTAAGTTATTTCTTTTAAGAATATTTAAGTGACTTATGCAAGCTGCAGTGTTTACCGCCTAGAATTAGAATCTTATAACTTTCTTGCAGCGCTACCTAATTAGTGCTAGGTAAAGAAATAGGACTAGGACCAAGGTTCCCAAAACTAGAGCTTTCTTAATGTTTAACTTTTATTGCTAGTTTTTGCATTTTACACGCACTACTACGCCGCCGCGATGGCGAGTAGCAGATACGCAAGCTAATTTGCGATGCATTTCTTTCCAGTCCCCTCTTGATCTTGCTCTCACTGACAACGCGTGTGTTGTGCGTGGTTTTATAATTGTTACTTTTATTAAAAGGGGAAAAAGCGATTGCCATATGTACACCCATGCCGGGCTTAGTATCACCGGACAAACCCAAATACAACATTAATGGGGAGCTACTAGACTCTAATGTCGACAGGAGATAAAAAAATCTCGAGCCTAACTGATGTATGCAATAGTAGGAGTTCCAACATCTCAAAGATACGCTGCGAGCCTCCTACGTAAGGATGCAATTAATGCACCAAATATGGCGCAAGATGTCATTTTGCGCCAATTGCAACGAAGAGGAAGCCTCGCAGACCAGCTGGACTAGTATGCTACTCTAGCCAACGGAGTCTGCCCGGGTTAAAAGTTTTATAGATTTAAATATATCGCACAGCTCGAGAAAGGAGTTTAGGAAGTGGAGGCTTTACTAGGAGACAGGTCATTGGGAAAGGAAACTGTACCTGATATTGGTTCGCGTAAGGAGCAGACGACACCCGCAGTATTACCTGACACAGCCACTCAACACAGCGGCATTGATTAAATTTTTTGATGGAAGTAATCCATGGATGCCAGAGAGTGAGCCACAAATTACTTCAGCCGCACACACAGATAACCTATGGTTTAACCTTGGAGTTCTATCTCGGGCACACGACCACAACGAACCCCATTTTTTTACGCTTAGAAGTCATATAACTGACCGTATGTGGCCTCATGCCGCTCCAGAGTTACGCCCAGTTTCTCTACCAGCGCGCCAGCAGCTCCCCACAAACGCAGCCGGCCTGGAGTTGATTGAGGAAGCTTTTAGCAGCTATAATAGATTCCTTCCAGTTTTTAATGAAGAGGACTTCTTGAGATAGTTTCAACTCAAGTACTCGACTTCCAATCCTGGAGATGCTAGTTGGTGGGCATGCCTCAATGTAGTACTGTCGATAGCTCATCGTCTCGCGCCTTACGCACATTAGCCCCGACAGAGGAGAACATTCTAGCTGGTGGTTATGTACAAAACGCCCTAAGCGTCGTCTCCGAGCTGGGCGTCTCTGACCGCAGCCTCTCTGTCGTCCAGGTCTGGCGGACATGACTTGCATTCTTCAGGGCACACCGAGTCCGGAGCCAGCCGCAATGCTCGTTGCCGCAGCTCTGCGCTTGGCACAGGCTATGAATCTGCACAGGAAATTTCCCAGTCCAGAACTCACGGAATCACAAGCCGAGAAACGGAGGCGGGTGTTTGGGAAGGTGTGCATTCTTGACAAGGATATCAGTCTCCGGACGGGCCGACCCTTTGGTCAAGATGATGATGGATGTACGTCTGCCATCAACAAACGCAAGTCTTGCGCCCAGTAGTCTAGACCTCTTCAACTGTCGCATAGGGCTTGCGTTGTTCAGGGACAGGTGTATAAACAATTGTACTCGGTACGGGCTGGACGACAAACGAGGGCACAGAGGGCGATTGCGGCACAAGAGTCGAGTTCTTTGTTACCGTACTGGAGGTCCGGTGCGCAGCTGGAACTACCAGAGGACTCCACGATATCTTCAGTCCTCCAACTTTCAGGCGACATTATCCACAAGGTGGTTCTACGACTCACATATCTTCATTCCCTCGCCTGCCCCCGACGGCGCAGTCTTCCTCCACTGAAGAGCTCGGCCGGTCTGAACCATTACTGCCCCCGAGCAGTCTATGCGACGCTGGGTCACGCAGAGCGATCCGTCTTGTTGGAGCCATTCCTCGAGGAGACTGCGCCTGTGTCTGGTAAATCTCTAGAGAAGCAGAACCTTTCTGAATTCGTCGTCTGACTCACTCTAGGATGCTGCTTGACGCTTTCCGCGCTTCAGCCAGCGGCATGCTCTACAATTTAACACAAAATCCCATGTCGCCAAACACAATTTCAGATCTCGATCTCTTCGAGCCATTTCTACGTTTGTTAGAGACACTTGCCAGGGATCCAAGCACACACTCACGTTCCGAGGAACTGGCGCAAATGCATCGCGCTTGCAACAGCTTACATGACGAAGCAAAAAAGGCTGTTCAACTTTTCAGCTTAAGGGCTCCGGCGTTCTTTATGTGATTATTTGAGCATAACTGGTTTTTAATACAGCTCTATTAATGACCTATCTCGTCCCAAGTAGCCTTGATCTCGGACACGCTTTTACTGGGCCCTCATAGCCGCAATCCATAACATTCAAGGGTGTTGAACAGGCTTTGATGAACCACAAGCAGTCATCGAGACCTGGGAAACCTTTCTGAGGCCAAATTTGCCCCCCTAAAGGAATATACCAACACTCGAGATCAAGCAGGAGGCGCACATGGCAGGGGTATTTATTCATCACCCTGTTTTAACAGAATCTTTCTTCACCTCCACCCTCATAGCAGTGACTCGCCTGTGTAAGACAGAGAACCCCCTCGCCCTACTTGGCTTCTTGGAGCTTCAAGACCTTGTTCGCACTCGGGCACGCGAGCAAGTTGTCAAGCCACTTCTTGACGTGCGGGTAGTCATCCTGGTTGAACTCCTCATTCGGAATTCGCGGTTCAGCTGTATGCTGCCAGGTAAAGAAGGCAATGTCCGCGTATGAGAGGCGGCCGCCTACGAACCAGGAGTTGCCGTCCGCGTCAGGCTTCTGCTTCGCCGGGTGTCCCTCCATTACTCCAGTTACGCGGTTAACCTCGGTCACCTATCGCTCGCGCGCCTCGGGAAGCGGCTGATAGATGATGAACCACATCGCCTGCCCGTAGTCGTATTTCTCTGTCAGGTACTCGATAATAGCGCCCGATTCCTACAGCGTGAGGTCTGTGTTTGGGTTCTGGATAGAGGGGCAGCCGCCCGTTCGGGTTGATGGCGGCGTACTTGGGATTCTTGATGTCGGTAAGTAGAATAATTTCCGTCACATACGGCAGCCTAGCTCCTCACGGAGGAGAAGAAATTTACCAGCGTTTGGCCCGTGAACTCCCCACACTCTGATCGCCCATTTCCTCTATTTGGATGAAAGTGTACCGAGGTGTCCGAAAATTGATTCTAGGCGGGGAGCTTGCGAATTGATTTAATCTTGGCTTTGATGAAAGATGCAGAAAATGATGGAGCGTAAGATAGGCCTGGCATTACGGACTTCTAGTCTCCTTTTAAATACATCACTTCATTATCCCCAACGGTCTAAAGCACACTGATCATAAGTCCTACCTGCCTTGAGAGTCTACCTGATTCAAGACTAATCATGGAGAAGAAGCAAGTTGACAAATTCTGACAATACTACACAGCACTCCAACTCAGCCTAATGCACCAAATTAGCCAAGGGATAGCGAATATACTGGCTTACGCAACTGAAAGGGCAGGAAAGTCAGCCGGAGCGGGGGATCCTAGACAGTATAATTTTCAGCTCAAAGCCCTCTCTCTTCTCGCTTGATAGGTTATTCATGATAGCACGCCCCGCTTCTAATTCCACAGAGTGAACCTTGGTGTAGTTGAAGACAATGGCGATATTGACATGCGAGTGAATCACTAACAGCCATGGAAGGATGGGAACTCGGAATAGCAAGTGGATATGCCCACCACTCGAAGAGTTATATTAGCAATGATGGAATTGGACATAATTTAACTAATATTCGAGCTCGAGCCTTCTGAAGGGTCCGGGTCCGGGCCATTGATGATAATGCTTCGAAAGGCCACAAGGTTGCAATCGCGGCCCAGTCCCTGAAGGGGGAAGACAGCGCAGACAGTCGGCTTATGTGACGGTCCCAGCAAATATATCGACAACTGGGTAGGTGGACTGTCTCTACGCCATTCGATTTCCTCGCCTCATTCTGCAGAGGTGATGGTTCTTTTGGACTAGAAAACAGTTGCGTTCTGTAGCGGGATGACCAGATAGGTTGTGACGGAGCCTGGTTGCTGCGTGCTGTATGCTGCATGCATTCTGGTGTGTTGCCCCAATCAAGGCAACTTTACAGGGTGCATACAAGACGAGTCGAAAATGCATGTCCTGGAAACAAACAAAGTTGCGAATAGCGGCACAACAGCATAATCGGGGCCGCTCTGGCGCTATCTGCTGGATCCAGGTTTTCAAAATGGAGAGCTATGGGCTCGCTGTTACCGGCTTGGTTCGCCTTATATTTAGATGGCAAGCCCGGTATAACGTGTTCGAAATCCTTACCTTGCGGTCCCTGCGACATTCGTTTTTGGAACTGGGGCGAGATTACGGAGTGTTTCGTGCAGCGACATATATTCCGACGACCACTGACCGGAGGCTTGACCAAGGGAATAAAATGTCTGTTTTCGGCGTTGTGCATTCCTTTACCGTATGAAAAATTTCCCCGTTGCTAAGCCTAGAGCGTCCCCGGAATTCTACCTCCACGGACTCCGGAGGGGTAGACTCGAGTTCGGCCCGTCCCGAAGAGTCAACTGCATCTGCATCACATTAGTCATCGAAATGCCTCACAAAAGCAACGCCACCAAAGAAACAAAAATGGAATATAGTCCCCCCTGTGGATGAAGCATTCCTTGACGGTCCACCCTCCACCACCTGGCGCGATATCAAACACGCCCAGCTCCGGCAGTGCTCCAAATATGGTCGCATCCACTGGAGGGGTCATCTTGGCCAAGGGGAAGATGGAGTTGACTACTCTGCTACAATTGAAGAAAGTGATGAGCTCTTTGCCACCAAGATGGTAAGTGCTATTAGTCTATCTATAGTATTCTTATATCCTAAAGAAGACATGTTTAATAGTTCTGGCAATCTCAAACGCCTGCGCCAGTACCAGCTGGAAGTGGTTAACGTCGGCTAGAGTGGCCGTTTGGGTACGAGGCGCGAACTGTCGCCCTTCTCGAAAAAATAAAGTCGGCCATCACTGCCAAAGATGTCGGTCAAGGAATTCTTATCAACAAAGGTCCTCGGACGTTTAAGAAGGCTGCACGCAATCTCTATGCCTTTAGTGACGAGGCTCGTCAAGCATCACATCATCAAACAACACAAGCATCTGCTCAGGATACACCACCTAAATTTCCCCCGAGAGCTCCAGGATCGTTTCAGATGAGTGGACACTGCCATGCGATCTAGCATGACCGCCCACTTCGCTAGTTTGCTGACTAGAACGCTCATTGATTGTGTTGCTCGCTCTTTGTCGGCTGTCGTGTACTGCTCTATATCACAGTTATCTTCATCCCTACTATCCAACTAAGCTCACCACTACCGCTCTCTCCTGCGTGCACACTCGTTGCTAGGGCGCTACAGGATGTACTAGTACCAGTCTTGTTAGTGCTTGAACAGCCTTTCTAAACAGTCTTCTAGTAGTCGTTATGCTATATTCTGTTAAGCAGGATAAGTGTCTTTTCCCTCAACTGCATATATCGATTATCTTTCGTAAAACTAACGCATTAAGTTGATATATCTGGAATACAAATCTCAAGGCCCGCTTAAAGATCAGATGACACTTTCTCGTACTTGAGGGCTCTTGTAGGAGTATAAATAGCTTGGGGAAACTCGACTGTAAGCGAACGCTTTTCAGCCAGCAGAGTACCCTGTGGCCTGTCTTCTTTGCTGCTACTTCACACTTATCCATGATAGGATCGAATAATCGAATAGTGTAGGAAATTCTTAGCTCGTCGCTTGGTAAATTTACGAGATCTTCTTTAAGCCTATCCACACCTTTCCGCCCTAGTAGGTAGGGCTGTTTATCTGGTCTATATTGTCACACGGCTGCGATCCAGCAACCAAGCCCAACAGAGGGGCATCGATACAAAGGGCCTCGCGGTTACACAGATTGAATACCTGACTGGTGAGGACCCTTAGGTATAACCGTTCTTCTCATGTATACATATTAGTCACTGATCCCCTTCTCTCTCTTGGAGAACCAAGGACCCCTGACATCCTACGAGATTATTCTTGAATTGGGCCCATTTGCTTCAAGCCCTCACATAAGCCCTTGTCACATGTATCGCCTAACTCTTACGAGAGCGGTGAGAAGGTGACGGATTTTCTTTCGGAATATCTCCTCGAAAGCGGTCCGCTCAAGCCAAGGCCGTTGTTCGAAGGATAGCGATGGAGTACTTGGATTTTCGATCCATGTTTCGGCCGCCCGCAAATCGCGGATGTGGTCCCTCTTGTTCTCTAGCTGTCGCATTGATTAATAATGATGACCTTTTTTTGTATTAACTGACTGGTCCGCGGCGGAGTTTACTACGTTACTGCTACCCACAATTATCTAATACTTTCGTCCTAGGCCTGTCTTCCATGTCTGCAGTCACACGGGCTCAACGAAGTCGTTTATTTGAGCAGCGAACCTCTATTCGCGCTAGCAGAAGAGCACGAATAGCTTCGAGTCCTTTTAAGCGATAGCCTTTTGTGATAATGTGGAGACTAGTGGTTTCTAATTGCATGCGAAACGTTTATAGATTCGTAATTTTGAGGGCTAAGGAGAGCTGTTTTTGAAGGCAGGGATGTCCCCTGGGTTTCGTAGTTCAAATGCTGCTAGCCGCTGTGTCAAACTTGACCTTTCCTGACCTGTAGAGATGCCATGAAAGTTACGCCAAAATACGTTATCGCCCGCGAAGCCTTGGTCGAGATGGCGCATTTGCATCTGTCGTGACAGCAAATAAGAGCGGCGGCATTATGGTCTATCCACAGTGTAAGGCTAATAAACCGCCGGTCTTAGTCCCGCATTATGAAATTGTCGAGCTTTAACGGGAAGTCGTGTGAAGGGATTATCTGTCGATAATATTTTCTCTGGTCTTTGTTGAGGTGTTGAGGTGTAGAGGTGTAGAAATGTAATAACAGAGAGATTAGGGGGTTGCCCTGCTCTCTTATTGAAAACTTAACAGGGAGTTTTCACGTTCTGTGAAGGCGTGGAAACATTTAATTTCATATCATTACATGAATAGGGTCACGACGCGACAGGCCGGGCCACATGCGCGGGACTTGGGATGAGGAAGGAAAACCTGCAGCGCACGGACGCAAAGTGTCAATATATATCATTTACTACACTAGCTTTTTTGAACCCTAACACGAGTCGTCGGACTCAGGTTGAGCCTTGCACGAATTCTGCTTGTCGTTGTTGTTATTCACGAGCAAGTTTGGCGACCCACCAAGGTCCCCCTTCACTTTGTTCTTGGTAGCAGTCTTTTGGAGGAATGAAGTAACCTCTTGGCCTTGCTTTGAGAAGACCGACATGGCGTTTAAAGCTAGAGCGGCAACATGAGGTGCAGCCATTGAAGTACCTGACTTGGTCGTAGTAGCAGAGTCGCTGTCCTTTGCAAGTGAAAGGATATCAACTCCTGGCGCGAATATATCGACTTTGTACCTCAGGTTAGTAAAGGGGGCAGCGCTCCAATCTGGCGCCATGGCCCCAACCGTTATACTGTGCGTCGAATCCGTGGGTGTACATTGTACAGTGCCCGGGCCTTCATTACCGGCGACAATAGTCAAGATGCCGCGGGTATTATAAGCTCTGTCTATGGCAGTTGCAAGGGCCTTGGAGCAGGTTGTCCATCCGGCAGAAATGTTAATCACGGCATGGTGGTAGCGACGATTTTTGTGAATATCGCGGATAGCAGCGTCGAATCCGGCTATGGCTTGGGACAAGTCTCCACGGCCTTCGTTGTTCAAAACCTTGACAGAGACAACCCGAGCCTTCTTAGCCACTCCATAGGTTTTGGAGGCAATAATTCCCGCAACGTGGGTGCCGTGGCCGTTCCCATTCTGAAAGTTGTCTTTTTTATCCGAAGTCTTAAAGGCAGTCCAAAGGTTTTCCGCGCGGTTCTCAAACTCGTTGTGTGAAACTCGAATTCCCGAGTCAATGACGTATGCATAGTAAGGTGTTTCGTCGTTCCAAGAATAGTAATACTTGAAATTACGAAGACGAGTCACCTTTGGAGCCCTGTGAGGGGACCGATGAGAAATGGCTCGCAGGTTCCAAGGCGCCTTGTCTTGAATACGAAGCTCGAGTGCCGCTAGCGCAGGTAAAGCTGACCCCAACAGGCCAGCAAGGACTGTTGAGGTTTTCATGAGAAAAGTATTAACGCGTTTAAAAGTAATTAAGTGTAATTGCGATTCCAAGTTTAGGGGATTACCTTGGAGCCAGACTCTTTATCTGTTTAGCTGCTCAATGGCTGATGGAGACTCTCCTGCCATGCAATTTTCCTAAGTAACCGAGTCTCCACCAACTATTCCGACTACCCGTGACTTTACAAGGGAACGTGAGTCATAGAGAGGAGGTAGGGGGAGTAAGTACCCTGATTTTATAAGATTATATTTATTACTAACGTTTATTAATACTCTTATAAATTAGTTAATAACTACTTGCCTACTTGATAATAACCCACTTAAGATATTTATATTATAAATATAATAAGGCCCCCTTGCTCTATTAACCCTGCTAGGTTAGGGGTGATTGATTAAACTTGAGTGTATGCAGGCTGGATGTTCCTGTAAGCGAGCGAAGGTCATGCGACCACCTGGCCATGTCATGTCACTTTCTCTGTTTACTCTGTTTACTCTTAGCTGGACGTACCAATTACCCCAAAGGGTCGGCTGCTAGATAATTGTCGATGTAGTAGGCATAGCACAGCCTAAGACTAGGATATAATTGCCTCACGTGACCGGGCATAAGTCAAGGGGCGATTTGAGCATGAGTCCTTCCCATTATTTACGTGACCGATAAGATGGTTTTTCCAGGGCGAGAACGGCTCATGTTTCCGTCTCATACACCATGCGCATAATCGTCGCATGCAAAGTACTGTCTTCCCAAGGAACTAGACCCTCTTAGCGTTTATCCTAGATGGGACTAAAGAGCACGCAACCTGGGTGTTAATCGAGTTGGATTAAATGGATAGCACTAGACGGTACCTATATTGGCACGCGCACCCTCGCACAGCGCATATAGTTATCAATCGATCTTATAGCGGTACACGAAATAATAGTAGGTCCCTACTCATCCGATAACGGCTCCACTTTAATTTATATCCTATCCCTTTAAGTGTGCGTAGTGTTACGAACGACACTGTATAAGACACGGGACGGGACCGCACTAGCTAGGATAGGTATAATCTATAGGTATAAGAAGAAGGTAAGAGCACGTGATTAATTACGTAACTTAAAAGGTAATTAAAGAAATAATACTATATAAGACACGAGATAGGACTATACTAGCTAAGATAAGCATAATTTATAAGTATAAGAAGAAGGTAAAAGTACGTAATTAATTACGTAATTTAAAAGGTAATTAAAGAGATTAATATTTAAATGTATTAATTAAAAAGAATTAAGTTAATTAAACCTTAAGCTAATTAATTAAAGTTTAAAGAAATTAATTGTTAAGCTAATTAGTTTAGAATTATAATTAGAGTATTAATAAAAAAACTAC